GAAACAAAGAAGCAAGATAGTTTTCCTGTGCTGTGTATGTGAACTTAGATACAGGAGATGACATGAAAGTTTTTAATACAAAGCTTCAAAACGGTAGTGAGAGAACAACTGACTGCGGAAGGACATCCATTACCTTCAGAAGTTACCATAGTATATAATTTTGAAACAAACTCAATAGATTTTAAAGTCATCTCTGCAAAGAAGTCGGGTTTTACATTAATGAAGCAGATGTATATTCGAATGAAAACTTCAAAGCTATTGCATGGTTAGATAATGACGATTGCTTTAAGAAAATATTTAAATACAGTGACTCAACGATGTCAATAGATGACCTCGTGGAATGTTACCATCGACGTTTACAGTAGAAGGTTCAGCAGGATTGCTTACAAGATTGTCAATTGGTGGTATTTGGTCTCGTGAGAACATTGTTATAAAATCCAGTATAAGTGAATTTGCTGAAGAATCTATATTATGTCTTTCAAACTACATGTATTCGCCGCGAAGCATTAAGTATAACAAACTTTGTCAGTAAGTTTAACATAAGACTTGTCGAACCTTTCTTCAATGAAAGATGTTGTGCTACCAAAGACGGAAAGGATGGACTCATTATTGAAATGATTTTAATAGCATATTAAATGAGCTTGTTCTTGAAGGTCATTCATGATGAATATGTTGTAGAAGATGTTAGCAATTGTTCAGACATTTTGAAGCGTATAGATGATATAAGAAAGAAGTTAGATAGACCGCAAAGCGGTGAGGGCGAAGCCCGTGAGAACGCTTATGTTTCATTGACTTTCTCCAGTAACGAGAACTTTTATGAGATAATATTGAAGAGAGATGATTTTAATATGGTGTAAATGGTAGCTTGGGCAGCTTTAGGCGCAATGGGAACAAAAGCATTAGCATTTGGAGCAAAAGCACTTGGAGCTTATGACGCAGTAAATAAAATGAGTGGAGGAAGGGTTTCGAAGACATTAGATGCAAATAAAGGGAAGATTGGAGGCTGGGTTGCAAAGAAGTTAAGATTAAATAAAATAGGGCTCATAAATAAAGCATCCAATTTGGTTGCGACTGAGTCAGAAAATGCTTTAGGAAAGGACGATGAGTTTGCAAAACACGCAAAAGACTTTAATGACCAGATGAAAGGTGAAACAATGCATTTAAATAGAGTCGATGGAACTAAAGAAAATGTTTCTTCTCCACCAGTAGTTCTTCCGTATGGTCCCTATGGAATGTATGGAAACCCTTACGAAAGACCATTTGACCCATTGACTGGTGGAAGTAACTGGTATCATTACGGACGAAGAAGAAAGACAGTTAAGCTGGAGACAGACGTGAAGAAAGCAACTAAAAAGAAACCAAGGAAGAGAGTTATAAAGCAATGAATTCAACAGGGTGAAAAACAGGTGAAAAAGAGGTGAGATCTCACCACTTCACCTAAATTTATTTTGTGCTATGTTTTCATAACGTGTGAGGGTGGTGATATCATTAATTTTTAAGTTTATTTTTTATTTACTGAAAATTTTTATTTGGATGTAAATGACAGAACAAAAGCAACTCACTCGAATTCCACAGTATAACAAACATACATTTAAACATTTATTTCTTCTTCCTGAGCATAACATGTTCTTTCAAATACATCCGAGACCAGTTGACTTTTCATTGACTGTGTATAAAGATAGAAATAGTTATATCATTAAACCATACGATGACGAAGGTAAGTTATGTAAATTGTACGTTAAGAAGTTAGAGAAAGTTTATGGCTTCAAGTATGACTACAATAGGGTTAACACTGATGATGAAGATATTGAGGAAAATTTATGAGAACATTAGTGAAGTCGTTAGTGAGAACGATAGTGAGAACGTTTATTTTTTACATTAGTGAGTTCGTTAGTGAAGTGGTTGGCGGCTTTGTAAAGTGTCAAATTCACAAGTATTGGGTAAGGTGGAACGCAGTGCCGCCGTACCCAAGACTTGTATACTAACTATCGCATTACTTGGAACTAGCTGGATGCTAAGCTGTGTAGAATGTTCGATTAGAGCTGTTTTGATATGATTTTTCTCATCATAAGATTGGAGGAATCATAGCAAAACAACTCTAATGGGTTTACCATCATCTACTTGTATGTAGATGTTTGGGAAATTGTCTTGTTAATTGATTTTCGAGATGACTTTCAAATGCTATAATCAAATGACAAACAAGTCTAAGATTTCTCGACAATACATCAAATCATGATGTTTGTAGTGCGATGAGATTAGAGTTTTTGAAGGAATGACAAGAGAAGTAGGGAAGCTCGGCATTCGCCGAGCAAATTAAAAATTAACGTATGAATTAAATTTTAAGAGGAATTCAATTTTAATTACGGGTTGTTCAAATATTGATTAATATAAATTTATTAATAAGAATAAACAATTTTTGTTTTTGAATTTATTCAATTTATAGCTTTACATATAGTTTCAAAATTGTACAACTATGATTATTTCAACAAAAAATATCTTACTTTTTCACTTCACTTTCACCCTCACTTTTTCCGTAATTCAAATTTCAACATTATGTATTTTAATTCCTTATAGTATTTTTAACATAATTAATCAAATAATAATTGGAAGTTCTGAACTCACTTTTTCCGTAATTCAAAATCAAAAATATGAATAATATATCTATTTATTATATACTAATGCTATTTTCAACTAGAAGTGAGGTACGGTAATCTTACGGATTCCCGTAACTCAATTTTACGGAAAAAGTGCAGTAAACTACTCAATTTACGGAAAAAGTGTCGTAAACTATTGATGTGGCGGTAAAATCACGGTAATTCACGGAAAGCTATATGCGAAAATTTGAAATTATACAAAATCGAGCGAAACACTTTTAAATAGGTTGTTCTCGTATTTAAAATACTATTCCCAGATTTATTGTCGTCAGAATATTTCCAAATTTTTGCCGATTTACAAAAAATGATTTACAAAGCATATTTTTTAATCTAAAAAATTCCTAAAAAAAGGAACCTGTGTGCGGAAACCTCGGTAAATTACCGCGGTTCCCGTTGGGACTGCCATACTTAAATATGATCAAAAACTAATTATGCTTATTCATACTGTGACATTCCTTGTTTCTTTTCCTTCTTTAATATTATGAAGCTCTAGATCCTATGTTTGGCATTGAAAAAAATATGAAATTTAAAATTTTTATGAAAATTTGAAAGCAGAATGTTAAATACCTTTGTTGTAAACAGAAATTCATCAAAAGTGACACCTCAGAAAAGCTAAAATATTGAATTTTTGGAACTTTTGATAGAGCACGTTTTTAAATATTAATTAAAGTAAATGTATATTTTGTAAAGATTCTTTTTAATAAAAAAATAAAATTTTGAAGAAGAACACAAAATCTTCTGAAAAATAATATCACATAAACTCATATTATTTTCTAATATATAACTATTTTATATAAAAATCAAATTCAATGATCTTAAAAGCGAAGGATAAACCTCAAAATTTACGAATATAATGAGTGGGAATATAATGCTTATCTATCATAAAACCATATGAAATATTAATTTTTGCTTTACGCCTAATTTTTGACGACAATTAGCAAAAAATGTTAAATGTTAACACTCAGTCCATTTGAATATGAAAAATAAAATTGACTTTGATTAAATGTTTCTATTTATCATGCAATTCTTCTTGCGACCAAAGATTTGAATAAAATTTCAAAAAATAAGATAGCTTAAAAAATAATATACGGTAGGAGTAGGTGCCAAAAGTGCTTACTCTTAAACAACTGTTGGATTTCCGGGTGAAATCGTGACACACTTTCGTCTTTCGTAGGCAGTGGTGGTTGTTACAAAAGGTAACTTCGAATGTAGCGTGAAATCTGCAAAAAAAATTCTGAAATTTGAATGGAGAACACAAAAATTGAATAGTTTACGTCAATAAAAAAGAGAAAAATGAAGCCAATGTGTCTCGAACCTAGGACTTAGAGCAGCAATCCCACTGTTTATCCCATTACATATTACACTACATGCATCTCTCACCTCAGTGAATGAGATCAACTATATGATAACTTTTTCCCCATTATATTCTTGTGGAAAAGTGACAAATAGCAACTTTGACCCTCTCTCTATACGGTAGTGTTTACTAATAGATGAATAGTATATAAATTCTATTAAAATGGATTTGATCCCAAAAAATATAAAACCAAAAATAATTGTTATAGTTTAAATGAAGAAGTAATTTAAAACGATTTTATTTATGATCAAATTTTATATATTTTTGGATCAAATCCATTTTAATAGAATTTATATTATTCATCTATTAGTAAACACTACCGTATATTATTTTTTAAGCTATCTTATTTTTTGAAATTTTATTCAAATCTTTGGTCGCAAGAAGAATTGCATGATAATAGAAACATTTAATCAAAGTCAATTTTATTTTTCATATTCAAATGGACTGAGTGTTAACATTTAACATTTTTTGCTAATTGTCGTCAAAAATTAGGCGTAAAGCAAAAATTAATATTTCATATGGTTTTATGATAGATAAGCATTATATTCCCACTCATTATATTCGTAAATTTTGAGGTTTATCCTTCGCTTTTAAGATCATTGAATTTGATTTTTATATAAAATAGTTATATATTAGAAAATAATATGAGTTTATGTGATATTATTTTTCAGAAGATTTCATTCTATATGCCTATGAAAAGTACTCTCAAAACTAACTTTTTCCTAATTATAATTAAATCTAGAATATTGTATTATGCTTAGTATTATTTCATTTTTCTCATTCAATTTAGAATTTACAAATGTCAAAAAATTGAGAGCTGCCACTTTTGATGAATTTCTGTTTATTACACCTTCACTGTCACATGTACGAATATGATAGTATTTAGGAAAATCCGATTCCAATTCAGTTTCAGCGTTCAATTGAACTCTCAAATTTTATTTTGACATGTAAAGTTGGGTCAAAAAAAGTTCATCGGAATTTTCAGGTAATTTATGCAGGAACTTCTTGAACTCCAGCGTACAGAACACTGGAGCACAGGAAGAACTGAAGCAATCAGTACAAACAAGATCACTGCATTAGGTCTTGAGATCCAAACATATGGTCACCACTCAAATATGCTTAGATACATTCTGAAATCATCCGATTTTCTTACAAAACCAAATGCAATCGACTTGATAGCAAAAGCTATTAAGAAACCTGTTCGTGTCCATACAAGAATTTCACCCAACTCGGCACAATTCCTTCAATCATGGACCTTGAACTGTTTGGCTGATCCTGTTGAATTTGCGAAAGCAGTATCCACATATTTTACCGAAGATCCGGCAAATTCACGCGTGTTTTCAGGCGTAACTTTTCCATCAATGTATCATCATTTTATTACTAATGAATTAGCATCAGTCGCATGTGATTTTCTAGAAACACTATTTAATGTAGCAGACATTAATCTGTTTTCTATGTTCTTTGCTTCATTCCTTTTGACGAATCACGGTTTTATTGGAAATCTATGGTCAAAATACTCAGATCTTGAATTAGCAACAAATCCAGTAGCAGATTCAGATTACATGACAATATTTATTTCAGCTCTAGAATCATCAGCAACATTATTAACCAAATATAATCTGAAAATTATTGATTTATTCTACAAAAGACAGCCAGAAAAGATGGCAGCTACACTTGTACAAGACGTTCTTATCGCTTCTTTCCTTGATTACTTCCAATCTCACGATCAAGATAACGATAACCATCCATTGATTCAAAACCTCGTTTATGCAGCTACCAAACCGACGTACTCAAGATTCAATCTTATTTTGGGAGCTTTACAAACGCCATATCCTTGTTTCATTTTACCTCACGAAATATTACAATACGAATCCAGAACACCAATGGTTTTGGCATCCCATGAATGTTTACTTCTTCAAAAGATCATTATCAACAATGAAAAATTAAGAAAATTCAAAGTTGTTCAAAGTTTACTGCTAAAAGATAGTTTAAACAACGATTTCGAACCATTATTCTTCGAAATTGCCATTTCCAAGCATATTAATCTTATCCATGTAAATATTCCAAGAATTATTTTCCCGAAATTGGAGAAAAAGAAGAATCAAGGCAAGCAAGAGTACAAGAGGTACTGGAACATGGTCAAACAAGAGCTTTTGAACCCTCTTGAGATATTTACATCAACAGGAGATACAATACAAACGAAGAATTTAATTGATAAAATTAAAGTTCTCAAAGATCCAGGTTTCCAAGAGTACGCGTGTTCAGATATCTTCGATGTTATCGTAGGTGCACAAGATTACTTCGAAATGAATGTTGAACTGTTAGATGCTTCAACAAAAATCGAAAAACTCAACACGAAGTACGAATCATATTTCATGGACAGAATGTCAGTTGTTTGGCACACAATATTCAGCAATGAAGTACTTCTTGGCCCAGATTTCGTCGTTTCTAGGCAGAAAAAGCGAAGAAATTCATTTGCCTCATTCAAAATCAAAGCAGAGGAACTTCCCCAACCGCCAGTCCTCAGAAAAGCTGTTGAATGTCCTCTTCGAAAACTACAGCCAATCATTGTTTCCAATGATGTTAATGAGAAAGTAGTGAACCAATCCTCATCACTGATTGTCAAAGTTGAAATGAATGTCGAAGGTGTCGACATGAATGAGAAGATGCACAAACTTTTGACAAAAGTTGTTATGCCAAGTGCTCGTTTATGTATCTACATGAAGTGTTTTGATGATAACCTTGTTGAAAAGTCCGAAAAACTTAGCCAGATCATCACAAAAGTCAGCAAAACAATCAAAACAGTTCATTTCGAGAGCGAACTCGACGAACATCCTATCAATTCTCTCATGATCAAGTTCCTTAACGAATCGGCGTCATCGATGATCAGCAATGTCATCAACTACTACAAACGACTTGAAATCATCAAACGAATGATGAAAGAAGTTTGCAAGATGAAGAACGGCTCTGCATCATACGCTATCACACGAATTGCTATAACAATCGAGAGTTTTGTTGCTAAACTTATTCCAAAGACAAATCATTACTTCTATCCTATCTGTTCTTCTATTGCAGCTGCAGCAATTGTTGAATCCGAGAATTACGACTTTGTTAAGAAATACTTACTTACAGAGCGTCTTTGGACTAATTATCCAGACTTCCACAACTTGTGTGTTGGCGATGGCCAGGACTACTTCTTCCTTCAGACAACTGTATTCGAGATACTTAACATCTGCGGTAAGGATGTCATAGAGAAAGCTACAGATTTCATTAAAGAAAAAGTTGGATGAAATATTTGTTTTATCTATTCTTTATTGTTTTATATATATAGATTTAAAAAAAAGTTTATTATATATAATTTCATGTCTCAATATCAGAAATGAGTGTTTGTTCAATTAGCAATTTATATTTCATTTGATTGTACTTTGGTGTTGAGAATTTAAGAATATTGAAATGAATATTTATTGCTAATTAGAAAGATATTAAGTGATTTATTCAAATCATAACAATGCAAATCTCGGATTCATAGCTGCACTTAACATGCTTGCTCATTTATCGCAAGATGAATATTATTTTGTATTAATTGAATCTTAAGTATCAATATTCATTCAATTAGCAATTTTTCAATATTTGCATTCGAAAGTTAAAAATAACGATGCAAATCACGAATTCATAGTTTCATTTAGCAGTCTTGCTCATTTATCACAAGCTGAATACAGAGAACCGCTTGGATTCCGTAATAATCGAGTTCATAACATAGACAGAAAGTCCTATACAATTGCAATTGCAAATAATTTTATAGACCGACGTACAATGTGCGTTGTCAATCCAAAACAGGATCAAGCTCAATGTGAATCATGCTGGGCATTTTCTGCATTCAATACTCGGGAATTTCAATATGCAATCGCATATGCACAACCACAGAAGCTTTCAGAACAGAGCATTGTTGATTGTGTTTTAAGTCATCAGCTTATGGATATGATATCCAAATACCAAGATGCAAAGTTTATGTCGGAAGTGGATCATCAAAACTACTGGATCGTTCATAATTCATCGGGTCTTGGATGGGGCGAACAAGGCTATGTTTGCACCATCCAAGTTGATAAGAAAATATTTTAAGATCAACTTCGTTGTATAAGATATTATTTTTTCTCATGAAACATAGAATATTTATGTTATAATGCATTCATTCCTCATTTGTATATTATTAAAATCAAACATGGCGTTCTTGCTAAAATTTCAACATGTTCATCTTCCAGATTGCAGAAAACATTCGAAGTCTTTGAGATTTACTTTTTCTTTGGAAAATTGAGCATATTTCTGGTCTTTTCGTTGTTCGAAGTTTCTTTTCACGAACATATATAATTATTTCTCTATTCAGAACTAATTTTGATTTCGGAACTGTATTCATCAACATTATTTAAATCTATTCTTAAATATTATAATCTTCGAATGCGTTAGAATTGATTTTTGAGCGAGGTTATTGAAATATTAGGTTATGAAGAGTTAGAAATGTTTACTAAAGTTTGTAAAAAAAGAGAAAGTTTATTAACATAAGAAATACTTTTATTGATAATTGCAAATTCTACTTGGCAATTACCAGTTGAAAAATGAATCAAATTGTTAGTAAATAGTTCTCTTGTATTAGTAGGTTCTACATTTCTTTTAAATGTTGATGAAATCGAATTGTCAATGTAACAACTATCAACTGTTAATTGATCATCATAATAGTTATATATCAAATATGAACCTTGAGGAACAGTGTTGTTAATAAAAGAACAACTTTTTATAGTAAGAGAATTACTAGAATGGTAAATAATTCCTAATGCTGATTTTGTTATGGTATTATTTATAATATTACATGAATCAATCAACGCGTTATTCCAAATACGTAAATGTATACCAATACTATTTGTAGCTAAATTATTAACAATAGTTGTGTAGTTAAATGTTGTTGTGTATTTATAAGTTGGTTTAGAAGTAAAATGTCCAACATTTTTTTCGGTTGTTTTACATGATGAGATATTTGTTGATGAAACTAAGATATTATCATTTTCTGTCCAAAATGTATAACTACCAACACTTTCATTTCCTAAATCGAAAACAGAACTTTCAAGAATAAAGTTTAAGTTATCTGTGTCAACAACTGTATATGAAAATTGGCCATAGTTAGAGCTTTGACATTTTGTACAACAGAACTTTCGTTGAACAATAGAACTATCGCTGCCAATTTGGTAGTTAATGCAACTTCCTTGCTCTGTTGAAGTGCATTTACTAAAAGAACACCGATTATGTAGGAACAAAGCGTTGGAGATAGGTTCGAAGCTGAGAACGCGGTCATTGTCATCAAAAAAATTACACTCATCTAGGTAATATTGACCATTTGAGGATGATACATCGCAATTATGACAATTTTTGATTGGATTTCCTGTGAAATCAATTAGAAAGTAATTATTCCAGGGAAAGTCATCTTCTTCAGATGACTTTCTACCAAATTTATCCAATCTGACATTTTATTTTTTCAATCATGATCGTCAAAACAAAATAATTACCAAAAAAGATATCAAACTAGGGAAAAGATCAGGAAAATGGCATTTATATTTTGTCTCAAGCAATAATAAGTACAGTTCATCCAATATTGATTAGTGAGATATATCTTATAAAATAATTGTAAAGATTATTGAAATAATTGGAAATAAAAATGATTGTTTAATTTTGGTTGATGATTCGAGTAATAGAATCTGAAATGATTTGGAAGGCAGATTCGAGTTCATTCTGAACAGGGATTGCTGATGGATACTGTTTGCAGAATTCCGCATGGCTAAGAAGTGCTTTCTTTGTAGTGTTCAAGAAATCGGTTTCTGCATTGCAAAGTTTCTTGTTGTATTTAGCTTCTGATGGATCTCTGTCTGATAAGAAAATCTTGGCGATATTAAGAGGTGTCTGGCTCTCAAGGTCTAAAAGACTAAACTTCATGTGTGATTGCAATGTGGCGTAGTCTTTGACATCGATAGCATTACGCATCTCGCTAACAAGTTGTGACAAGTTTCGGTATGCAACACGGATAGGCGAGTACTCAACTTCGTCGATGTCTTTCTTAGCAACATAAACACGAAGTGTGCAGCTTGGCATGGACTTGTTAGGTTTGTAGATCTGACGACGGATCCATCGATCGCTGTATTCTGACTGTTCAAGTTCAAGACCATCTTTCACGAAGATTTCGTCTTGTGCAAACTTCTGGATGTCGTGTTCGAGTTCGAATGTTGTGATTCGCTCGGCAAGCTCTTTCCGTGTGAAGTTTGGTTCGACTTCCGAAACTTGGATGTGGCCTTTGTCTGGTGACAAACTACGTGGATCAAGTTTGCCCGAGAATTCGTGAATTTCGATTTTGTCTTTACCATGAATATTCTCGAAACTACTTAATAACTTTTCTTTGAAATGATCAATCGTGACATCGTTGTCCTCCTTGAAAATGTAGTTGATGCCGGATTCTTTACCAAAGAACTTTTGATTGTAAAATGTGACAAAGTAATAATTACCGAATTGACGGATTTTGTCGCCTGGATAATTCTCGATTTTCTCGCAAATAGATTCTTGTGTCTTGAAGAAGTTGCAAAGAGAACCAAACATTCGGTGGTGTTCAAGAAGTGGCCAGAAAATGTCAATAAGTGAATAACCAACTTCATGGAGTTCACAAGTTTGGCACTTTTGTAAGATAGTGTGTAAAATGTCGGTGAATGACCGCTCGGAGAAAATTGTTGAATCACAGAAAGATGGGACGAATGGTGGATCATCACTAAGTCTGATTGGACATGAGATTTGTGTAACTGCGGGGCAAAGACGCAACAAAACTTGGCCGGGATGATATCGTAAATCGGGATCCCAAATGAATTTCATTTTACCTAACAATGTAGAATATTCTAAAATAATAGCGGATTGTAACAACAAAACTTGGATTTCTTCTTCGTATTTCTGACGTGATGAATAGAATTCGGCAAGAACATTTAACTCATTCAATGCAGAATCGGGACTGCAAATGAATTTAACTGCTTTGTTGTAGATAAGTTCGCTCTTAACTTCATCAATAAGATTTGGTTCATTCAATAAACGTTTCTCGATTTCGATGATTTCGTTGAAGTCGGAAACCATGGACTTGACAAGATTGCCACCGTCCTTTTGCAGTTTGACTTGTGAACGCTGAAGACTACTGATAGAATTGAATGCGCGGTAACAGAGAGCATTGGATTTGTTGTTGTTTGGTTTATTTGATGTCTTAGATGTAATTTTATCATCTGCTTCATATAATTTGAACAAGAATTGGTTAGTTTCTTCAACTGCAATTGGATTCAAGATGAAGATCTTTGCAATGAATCGTGCAAAACATGGTTGAACTTTGTAGAACATAAATTCGATGTTTCGAATAGCAAAATCTGTGAAAGTGACAATCAATGGTTTGATGATGTCGATGTTCTTGTTTGCACAGAATAAATGATAGTAAAGATCACCAAGTAAAATAAGTTCTTTTTCTTCGGTAACAACTCCTTCTTTAGAAAGAATTCGTAAAATATTCAATGATGCAAAATGAACTGTATATGTTATCTCTTTCTGTCGTTTGACTTTCTTGTCGTTGTTCTTTGGATCTTTGCCGTTATATCGGATCTTTGACAAAACAAAATTAACTGATTTGAAGAAATCGTCTTTGTTGATTTGTTTGTAGAAATACTGGATAGATGTGTCATCCAAGTATTGGATAAGAAGTGTGAACCAGATGAGGATTGGATGGATTTCATCTTCGTTTGCATATGGGAAACTGCCAATTGGACATAAATCGGAAAGACGGTTAAGATATCTTGTTGTAATACGACATTTGTAATCATTAGAATAACAATCAATGCATGAAACACAAACGGTGAAGATAGATGAAAACATCTTGTCAAGTGTAGATTTCTTCATGATGTCACTGATTAAGTTGATAAAACCATCGTGATAAAGACTCAATGAAATGAATACTTTTGGTGTCAATATTTGTTCAACGAAATTGACAAAGATAGTCTTGTCACTTTCTTCTTTGATGTTTGTCCAGAATGCTTTAATTGCTTCGTAAACAGCGGTTCCACAGCCAATGTCAAATAATTTATGACAAAAAGTGACAAAATGTTGATTTCGTTCGTTACTTTTTGTGAGAGATAATTTGTATGAAACTTTTGACCATGAATTTGCGAACTCTTCGAATGCGTTCATGAATGTTCTGCACTTTGTCAACATGATACTTTTAACGACCAAATCAAAAATCAATCTGATAATTGAGTGATCAACAGGAACTTGGTCGTTTTCGACTTTCATTTCATCCAAGAAATATTTGTAGCCACTCAACAAACCAACAGATGTTTGATCGGTAGTTGTCATGTCTGTCCTGAAACTAGCTGATTTAGCATACCATGCAAATCTTTGTTCGGCAGTTCCTTTTTCGGTTGCTTTGTCGATTTTTTGTGACAAAGTGATGAAACAATGAATTGCTCGCAATGGTTGTTGATTGGATAGTTTAGTTGTGAGTTCTAAGATTGGAACCATGTACTCGTTCAATGATGCTCTGTCCGCACGTGAAAGAGATTCTGGATCTAATGTATAGCAGCAACTTGCGTAAACAAGGAATTTCTGCAGAGAAACATTCTCGGCTAAGAAATGTGAACGAGGAACCATGAAGAATGTCGCGTGGTTCTTTGGATCAAGTTCTTTAGGTGATGGTGTTTTCTCATAATGTATTGGTAATGTGATCTTTCTGTTCTCAAAAATACCTTTTTCATTGTAAATAGGGGCGTAGCAGCGTCCTACAGGCATCATTGGAACATCTGATAACTGTGCAACACCGTGGAAGAACTCGATGTTGAAGCCGAGCTCTTTAGGAAGTGGATTTGGTAAATCTGCAACAAATGTGTCGTCAAATTCTGGAGTTTCATTATGATATATGGTTTGTGTGACAACGGAATCGACATAGGAGTCGTCAATGTTGGAGTGCAAGAGTTTTATTGGCTTCTTGTCGTTCTGTTTGCCAGGAACCATAGTAATTCTCGCTAAGATATTTCTGGCTTTGATTCCTTTTGGTGGTTTGAAGGAAGTATCACGTAATCCGAATGTTATTTGGTTGCGGAATTGGAAGGCAAGGTTGTTTGGATTCTGAATCAAGGAATGAATAACTTCATATCCTTCATCTTGGAGTTGTCTTACGCTTTCAGCGGTTTCTTCCTTGGCCTTGAGTATCATTTGGAATGGTAATATTCTGGATGTGACTTTCTTCGGTTTTTCGAGGAATTTCGCTAATAATTCCTTATTTGGTGGTGTATCACATAGAATTGGCTGTTGTAATTCGATGGAATAGCCTGATGTGAGCTCTTTAAGCGAAACAAATGTGTAAGCAAACGTTGCAAAGATTTGTTTCGTTCTTGGGAACGATGTTTTGACGCATTCTCTGGCTTTGATGCATTGGGATGCGTTGGATGGCTTGAGATAGTACTTGTTGACGGCGGCACCGTTGTCAACTAACAAAGGACGGAGTAATTCGATGACAAGATACTCTTCTTGGCTCTTGATCTTATCGTTGATGGCGAGGAATGCACTGTTGCCAAGTTCGAAAGCGGCTTTTTGTCTTGGTTTGAAGTTTACGCCGTTTGTATTCAAAATTTGAGCAGATTCGTTTGTAGTGAAAGCCCAGCGATCAGTAATGATACGTCCAGACTTGAATAAGTATCCGTTGAATATGATTGGCTCGATTTGCTCTAATGTGTTTGTCTTAAATTCGGAAAGTTCGATTTCCAAGAATTTCAACTCTGTTCTCTTAACAGGAACAACTTCTGGTATTGCAACGTCGTGGTTTGGCTTTCCATTGATTGAAAAGTATTGTTCTGTGATATAAGTATTGATTTCTGAATTTACAACAGGATTTTCGGCATTTGGTAATTCAGTTTGGTATAAAATATCACGGGTTGGTTCAACGGACTTAGAAGAATTGTTTGGCTGATTAATAACTAATTCTCTGTAATCTTCAGCGTAAAATTGAACAACGGGGTGCTTCTTGTAGCTTGGAACTGTGTAAATATCCTTTGTTGTTTCTGTAGCAAGAATATTTGGTGTTGTAGTGTATCCAGAAACGATTTTTGAATTCCATTCTTTATTTACCATATCTTTTCCATTTAAGAAGGCTTCGATCTTAGAATCGTTCTTCCATGTATCTGATTCTGTGACAAAAGGCCTGATTTCGTCGATTTCAACAGCTCCTGGTAAAAATTCAAGAGGTTCTTGAACATCGTAGTTAACAGCGTTGACGTAAGTTGTATTTGTAGTTGTTTGAGCGGCTGGTTTTTCTTGCGGCTTTGGTTTTTCCTCTTTGGCGGGTTTTTGTTCTGGTTTCTTTTCTTCAGCCTTTGGAGCTGGTTTTGGCTCTGGTTTTGGTTCCTCTTTCTTAGGTTCTTCCTTTTTAGGCTCTTCTTTCTTTGATGAATTTTCTTCCTTTGGTGGTTCTTCAGCTTGTTTTGGTTGTTCTTCTGGTTTCTTCTCTTCTACTGGTGGAGATTCTTTTGGTTCCTCTTTTGGAGGCTCTTCCTTTGGTTTATCTTCTTTTGAGAGTGAATAAGACACTGAATTCTCTTCTTTTGGTTGTTCTTCTGGTTTTTTGACTTCTTCTGGTGGAGTTTCTTTTGGTTCCTCTTTCGGAGGTTCTTCTTGCTTTGGTTCTTCTTTTTGTGGCTCTTCCTTTTTAGCTTCTTCTTTCTTTGATGAATCTTTTGATAAAGAATAAGAAACATATTTGTCCTTGGAGAGTGAGTATGATACAGACTTATCCTTGAAATAAGAATATGATACTGAATGCTTCGAGCTGTCGGAATCTGAGTCAGACGAGCTCATTTTTATATAATGAGATTTTTCTGTATCAAAAATTGAATTGTTGTTTCAAAAACTTTTTGTGAAGAATTGTAAATTTTTAGATTCCGAAAAGTGTACGTTAAGCCTCCATACAAAAAGTTTCAATATAAACTGTTCATCATTATTAATGTTGCATTAAATTAGTTATTAGTTACTGAGCTAAAATTTCTATTTAATTTTCGATCATTTGTCAAATCGGGCAAACCTTCATCATCAATTGATTTCATCAGTGATCAAGTCATAAATAAATATGTGCACTATCATGAAACTTAATATGTGAACTGAATTTCAAGATAAAATATCTTCAAACATGAAATATTATTTTCATTTCAATCGATAAGGAGGAAAATAACTTTAAGCATATAACTTTTGAGATATTTTAAGAAGATTTTCAATAGATGATGAAATGATTTTCAAGATACATTTAAAAAAAAAATATTAAGTATTTTTGAAGGAATCTATTAATTAATAGAGTTGTATTGGATGTTTTAGTTTAGAAGTTAAAAAGTAAAAAGTAAAATAAGTAAAAATCAAAAAATATAGTATTTTATTTAACTTTAAAATTCAAATTTTCACCCTTACAATTGATCTCTCTTCATTAACCTCTGACTTTGAAGAGAACTGTGGAGATACAAAACATTTATTAATCTTGGATTTCGAAGGAATACTTGAGTGTGGGCAAATGATAGAGTTAGAGATGTGTACATTATCACCAATGACAACATGGTCATAAATGATGCACTTAGTGATTCTACTTCCTTCGCCAATTGTAACACTTTCATCGAGAATTGAACGAATGATCGCCCTTTCATCGCATTTAATATTCTGTGGTTCTGAGTAGTTTTCTTTCTTGAAGAAATCTGGTAATGACTTATTTTCTTGTTCTGATTCTTTCTTATTCGGATTTTCTTTGACCATGAGCTCCTTGTTGCCCCACTTCATGTTAATGTGGTACAAGGAAACGAAGTCTTGAACGTTAAGCGTAACTGTTTTATCATCTGTCATATAAGAGAAAACTTTATGTTCCTTTAAGCTGCAAAGACGTGGAATAAATTCGTTTTCTATTGAGCATATTTCGTCGTTGTCCATAAGGTACTTCATGCCTTTTGGAGAGATAAGATATGAATTTGTAAGTTTGATCGAAGAATCGATGAACATTGAGTTGCACATGGCAAGGCTTTCAGCGCTAATCTCTATCTGTTGGGCGTCACCGAAATATGCATCTTCGCTCTTCAAATTGAGGTCAAGATCAAAGCGATGAGCATCCATATCGCCAAGAAGTGCGATAAGTCTGGATTCGTTGCTTTCATCAACGACAAAGAAGTGTCTGCCTGTAGTACTGATTGCGACACCAGTTCCTGGAGCATCTTCGAGTTCTTTGTTCGAAATGGCGTATTTTGTTGTGAAAAGAGTAACCGAAGCGTCTGTTTGAATATGCTGATCAACAATTTTCGTAATATCACAAACGGTAACGAGGTCAATTGGATAGACTAATATGTGGGTCTTCTTTGTATAAAGCTGGCGAATGACTTGGCATGTTGCTGTTTTATCTCCATCGAAACATTTAATATTTACATTTTCAAATTTAGAATCCAAGTAAGTCTGGTATGCAGAATAATCAATTTCCTTGCATACAAGAGTGATTCTGTTGAATCCTAAGTTATTCAAATGAGAAAGAACGTGTTCTATTAATGGAATATTGCCGATCTTAAGGAATCCGATTTGTTGGCTTCTGCCAAATACTTCGCGAATATTGGCATCTCTGTTTGCAAGTACAACAACGTGGATATTAGAATACGGGCCCTTTGGAATTTCCATATTTGAATGGTCGGCAGTTTTCAATAGCTCTGTTTGGGTGGATAAATGACAATTTGAGGGAGACAAAATTTCTGCGTCATTTACTGGATCTGTTGAATCGCATTTTTCTTCAATTTTCTCTTGATTTGAAGTTGGTAAAACTGAAGATTCTTTCGCAATTTCAGTTGCTGAATGATCTTCGGCTTTCTGTTCTATAGAAATATGTTTTTCTTGGCCTTCTTTTGTATCAGGAGCTGGAATATTCTCTTTTCCTTCAGGTTTTGTAAGATTTTGTTTAGATTTTTCTTTTTCATCCATTTTTTCTTCATTGGGTGTTGGTGAATCATCACACTTATCTTTGTTCTCTTCCTCATTAAGCTTTGTGTCTTTAGTATTTTGATCATTTGCAATTTTATCTGATTTTGCATCAAATTTTACTTGTTTTTCATCTGTATTATCAGTCTTGTCACTATTTGATTCTTCCTTTTCAGGATTTACGTTAGAAACTGGTTCGATATTTGAATCAATTTCATTATCATTATTTGTCTCTGAAATTCCTTCATTTTCAGATTGTAGTTCATCTTCTGTATGTTCTTTATTGTTTTCTCTATTAAGTTCCTCTATCTCTATATTATCTGTATTATTTTTCTCTGAAGTAGCACCGTTAGAAAGTTCTACTTCATCAATGTCATTGGTAGTTGCCAATGGTAATTCTGGTTTATTTTCTTCAACAATATCATTTGAATTATTTTGTGTATTGTTGATTTCGCCCTCATTTGATTCATCCATGTTACTGTTATCATTATCTTCTTGTTCTGAAGCATCATCGATCTGTTTTGGTTCTATTTCTATATTTTGATTAGAATCATTAAGTATTTCTTCATTTTGTTCTTTGTCATCATCTTTCTGAGTAGACTGAATATTTAATTCATTAGAATCATCATCACTGACTTCAATATCTTGATTATCAGAATCTAACTTCTGATTATCGTCGTTTTGCTCTATATTATTATGTGTTTCTGTTTGATCATGATTATCTGTATTGTCTTCTTCTTCATTTTGAGAATCCTTTTGATTATCTTCGTTATTTTCAGGGATCTGTTTGCTTTCAATATATGGTTCAGTCTTTGGTTCAATACCATATTCTGTCCAGTTAATTCCTCGTGGATTTCCAGTATATTTGTAATTGAAATCCAAATTTTGTTTCAAATTTATATATTCAGTATCGCAATCATCGCCAAGTTCAGTGTAATTGTTGTTCCTCCACTCAACACAAACAAAATTATCGTATTTTGATAAAGTTGTAACGATATCAATGTAAGTTCCATAAATATCTGTGGTAATTGCATTTAATTTACTTTCAATGATTTCTGTTAAGAAGATCGTTGGATCTTTTTTATGATCAAATGATTTTTCAATAAATATTGTTGAATCTTTCATTTCTATTGGAATTTCATCGGTTAATCTGAACTCAATATTGAATCTACATTGAGGGCACTCGTTATTGGTCGCTAAAACTCTTTCTAAACACTCAAAATGAAAACAATGGCCACAAGAAATAGAAACTGAATCATCTACATGCATCTTTCTGCGGCAAAGAATGCAGGTATTCGGATTTTGCAGCATTTTTTCTGTTGGTCTTCTACATGAAATTAATTTATCGTGAATATTTTTGAATTTTGAGTATTTGAGTATGTATTTTACGATTATTATAGCTTCCATAAGCATAAACAATAAGTATCTATAGCTTTTTTCTTGTAAATATAACATTATATAATAAATCATCATAAAAATCGCGGCAAATGCATGTAACACTACTTCCAAACGGTTAATATTGGCGAATGTTATAACTGGTTTGCCATTATTGGAAATTTGTAAATAGTAAAACAGATGAAGCATAATTGTATAGCAAATATTAGTAAAAGATGAAATACTCTTCATTGTATTGTAGAAATCTAAACTGAATTTGCTTTCATTACAGATTCGAAGAAAATTAATTAGTAAATATACGTTAAAACTGAATATTATGATTTCAATTGTAGCAATATTCTTGTGTAATTGTATATTCTGGCCTATTGATGAAATATTGAAGTAGCCAATGTAATTTTCGAGTAATTTTGCGAAATAATTTATGAAAATCGGAAATGAAATCTGCAAAAGTAAGTGTGGTTCAATGTAAAAGAATGTTATCTGATTGCCTACGACAATTATTGTTAAAATAGACATGATTACATCAAAAATCAAATCTTTTCGTGCGGTTTGATAGATAGATTTATCAGGAATTTGCAATACTACTACATTTACTATATATGTGATTGATATTAATAGAAAGATGCATGATGTGCAAGTAATGAAAGTGATGAATCTACTTGAAACTATTGATGAATATGCATCAAACAGGGAGTGATTTATTTTCCATATGGACATGAGCTTAATGCATAAGTAAAATGCCATTGCACAGTACAATATGGAAAAAGAAACCACTTTCATTTTATTTGTTTGAATTCTAAAAATTTTTGCCGGTCAGTTTGCCTGAATATTAAACCTTGTGTGTTGATGAAGAGGTTAATAATTTTGATAAACTGTCACTATCGAAAAATTGTAATTATTGAGCAACAGGTATTCATGCTTTATTAAAGTTCCCCTTCCTCTCATATATGAATATAGCACATTACTTCATTCCTAAGTGACATATCAACATATTATTGAAATCATTTTCCTTATTTGAGACAAAAAAAGTTATTTTGCGATCACTCTCTATTTAAATGCACATAATTGCTTTCATTATGAACATTATTCATATTCTAAATGAATAAGCATTGATATATTAATAAATTAGCATATTTTTCTTGAATGATATTGATAGCAATGTGATAAGAAACAGCAAAGCTATACGTCATATGAAAAATCTTTCTAATATGAAATCTTCATGAAACTGTTATAACTTGTATATAATTCAAATGATTCATAAGAAAAAAATTAATGAAAATAGATAATATTAGTTTATATTAATGAGTAACTAGTATAAATATTACAAATTACATATATAAAAACACATTCCGACATATAATTCGCCTTGAAAATGTATGCAAAAACTGCTGAAAGAACTTTAATTGCGCTTCTTTTTCTCATCAGATATACAGAGTTTCACGTTAAAGATTTCGTTATACCATTTAATATTCTTCCCTCTATTCTTCTTGAACTGCTCCAGAAAATCATATGCAGTTTGTAATGAATTGTGGTGAATTGCAAAGACGTTATCAATTGGCTGGGGATCAACGAAGCATTCTCTTCCAAAGTTTTTAATAGACTCACAACTCTTTATTTATCGACGCCATTATTGAAATAATCAAATATCTCAACGATACGAATAATGTTTTCATTAATGTGGAGACATTTTAACTTCAAAATCATCAATATGGATATCTTTGTTTTCTGGGCAATATGTCAAGTAAAGTTGGATTTTACTTGTCAAAATAACAAATTTGTTGTTATGTTATGGAGTCAATGGAGATCAATGTATTCCTCAAACCTGGTAATTACAACCACACCGGAGTCGATTATTAGACCTATAAGAGAAAACGATATTATAGAACTTCAAAAGCCAAATTTAAAAATACCAAGGGACACAACCATTAATCTCAACACAGAATCACAACAGCAACAGCAACTTTCGATGAGGAACCTAAGTGCATTACATGTCGCTGCAATGTATGATGCACTTGATTCTTTTATCTTTTTAGAAAGAGAGTTAAACATAAATCCATTAATACAGACACCAGAGAACCTTAATCCATTCCACTATGCATGCTATTATAACTCGTATGAAATAGCGATGTATTTAATTTGCAAATACCCTAATGAAGCTAAAAAAATATATACAAATACAAAATATCAGTATATTTATCTTTGCGCTATGGGTCACGCGACCAAAATTCTGGTTGAACTCTTTAAAAACGGCGCCACTTTTGAAAATACTCAAAACACTGAGGCAAACCCAATCAATTATGCAATTAAAATAAAGGATATTGAAATTCTTACAATCTTGCTCAACTATGCTCCGCAAACAAAATCAGACCAAGGCCAATTAACACCTATCATGCAAGCAATTGTAAATTCACAACAAAGTGCTGTTCCTCTTCTTTTCGACCACGGTTACGACCCAACTTCTATTACAGCAGAAGGAAGAACAGCACTTTTTATCAATTTATTTACAATCAAGAGCGTTGAACTCACGAGATTACTATGCAATGCCATGGATAAGGTCGACATCCCTGAGAATATGAAGAAAATGGCTGCTGTTCATTATATTTGCTGCTGCGGAATACCAGAAATTGCAAAAATCGTTCTTTCTAAGGGAATTAACGTAAATAGAATAGATGAAAACAATGCAGTAGGTCCAAAGCATCTTGTTGATATTGCTTCTGAACAAGCCGCTTTAGAAATTCTGAAATTATTATTTGATTATGGATATGAAGTTGATTTAAGAGCAGATAACCAAAGCAATACGGCCCTTGGCGAATTCATGCTTGGAATTAGGACATATCCACAAATTGTTGATTTTTTGATTTCAAGAAACGCCAATATTGACTTGCCATGCTTCAATCAGAATGTTAAGTCTTCTAAAAATGAAAATACGATCAGAGCGAAGCTTTTAAGGAAACCAGCATACGCAAAAATTTGTGCAAAATATCATATTAAGAAATAAATGTATTATTCTTTCTATAAATACCTAAAACTTTTTCTTTACAATAGCGAAAAGCATTGATCATGAAAATGTTGTTGAAATTTCAAGTTTACAGCTTAATTTTTTTTCGATGAAAAAAAATGATTAACTAGTATTATCTGGAGCATATACTATATACGTAATGCAAGGCACAATTATGATGACTTAATATATATATATATAAATTAAAAATTTAATATGAAATTGCTTATATCAAGGTGTGAATGGAATATACTATGTGTCCTATAATAAGGATGCAGATTTGGCAATTCTTGAGAGTATATTTATCGAAACGGCTATGGCATTTTGGATAAATTTGGGAGAAAGTCATCTGAAGAAGATGACTTTCCCTGGAATAATTACTTTCTAAATGATTTCACAGGAAATCCAATCAAAAATTGTCATAATTGCGATGTATCATCCTCAAACCATCAATATTACCTAGATGAGTGTAATTTTTTTGATGACAATGACCGCGTTATCAATTTCAATCCAATATCCTACGCTTTATTTCTACATAATCGGTGTTCTTTTAGTAAATGCACCTCAACAGAGCAAGGAAGTTGCATTAACTACCAAATTGGCAGCGATAGTTCTATTGTTCAACGAAAGTTCTGTTGTACAAAATGTCAAAGCTCTAACTATGGCCAATTTTCATATACAGTTGTTGACACAGATAACTTAAACTTTATTCTTGAAAGTTCTGTTTTCGATTTAGGAAATGAAAGTGTTGGTAGTTATACATTTTGGACAGAAAATGATAATATCTTAGTTTCATCAACAAATATCTCATCATGTAAAACAACCGAAAAAAATGTTGGACATTTTACTTCTAAACCAACTTATAAATACACAACAACATTTAACTACACAACTATTGTTAATAATTTAGCTACAAATAGTATTGGTATACATTTACGTATTTGGAATAACGCGTTGATTGATTCATGTAATATTATAAATAATACCATAACAAAATCAGCATTAGGAATTATTTACCATTCTAGTAATTCTCTTACTATAAAAAGTTGTTCTTTTATTAACAACACTGTTCCTCAAGGTTCATATTTGATATATAACTATTATGATGATCAATTAACAGTTGATAGTTGTTACATTGACAATTCGATTTCATCAACATTTAAAAGAAATGTAGAACCTACTAATACAAGAGAACTATTTACTAACAATTTGATTCATTTTTCAACTGGTAATTGCCAAGCAGAATTTGCAATTGCCAAATCAGTTGAAAAAACAAAATGCACTGAATACTTCTCTCGCAAATTCCCACGTCGTCATTGATTGAATTTGTTAATTAATTATATGTGTTGAATAAATAACTTTTTAATTAATCGTGAAATTTGATTTGAATTCTGAATATTGACAGCTCTGTACATTAATTGATAGGTGCGCCTATGAAACTTTCAAAACTAAGATTGGTGTCCATATCTTTGCATAAGATGCACCTATCAATTTTTGAATTGTTCCTTTTCTGAGATTGAGAGAAAATTATTAAAATTGAGAGCTTATTTAAGTTGGGCAAGCAATTGTAAGTATAATAGCCTCTAATCATGCTTAAATTGCCTGTTCGAAGAGCTCATATAAATTTATAAATCTTAAGGCTGCACTTATGCCCATCTGACTTTAATTCAAATTTTTGACAACTGGCGTGAAGCGTCATTCAAAATTAACCTTAAACATCTGAATTGAGACCCGTGTCATAGGGGCGTAAGTGCACCCTTAAATCTTGAAATAAAAATAATAACCTGTATATATTTGTTTTAAGCTGAATTAGAGAATAGCTGGTACTGTCCAAAATAGCTGTAGACCATATTATAAATGTGTGTAAGCCTAACATTTAACTCCAATAAAACTACAATTTCTAAAAAGGCATTATTTTATGTATAATTTATTGTAATTTAGTGGAACTCGCAAGATCTGAGGGTTGGGACAGTGATCTTACCCTGTGGGACAGTGAGGTGCTGGCCCTTGTAGCAAGCGAAACCATCAGCATCGATTGTGCAGTGTTCGCAGCAGTCCTTCCAAAGGTTGCCCTTCTTATCGCAAGCAACTGGCTCTGTCTTGCAGAAATCGCCGAAAAGAACTCTTGTGCCGATTGGTGTATCAGCTGGTGGGTCTAAGAGCTGGACAACTGTGTGGTCAGCGTTGGAGGCAGCGAAGACCATGCCTTCTGATGGAAGACCACGGATCTTGGATGGCTTGATGTTGCAGAAGACAACAACGTGGCGATCCTGCATCTGTTCAATTGGGACGTAGTTTCTGACGCCTGTAATAACTTTCTTGATTTCGCCATTGCCGATATCGATTTCTTCGGAGTAAAGTGTATCAGCGCCTGGATGTGGTTCGATCTTAACAATCTTACCGACACGGATATCGAGGTATGAAGCAGAATCGAAGGTTTCCTTTGGTGCTTCTGGAGCTTTGGCTGGTTTTGGCTCCTTTGGCTTCTTTTCCTTCTTTTCTTTCTTTTCCTGGTTCTGTGGGTGCTCGCCCTTGTTCTGTGGCTTCTTCTCGTGGTGCTGTTGGACCTTGAGTTCAACAACTGGTAATGGTGTCTTGAATGCCTTCTGAACACTGTCGAACCAGCGGCAGATGTCGCCAAGAGCGGTTTGCTCCTTGTTTGGCATCTTGCTTACGTAGTCGTAGACAGCGCAGTACATAAGAATATCAGCAACGGAGAGTTTATCTGTAGCAACGAAATGGCGGCCCTTAAGATGGAGGGAAATGCTGCCAACTGTGCCTTGCATTGGTTGGCCTGATGTTTCTGTAGCAGCAGCTTCGGCAAAATCAACATATTGAGCAATTAGAGCAGCATCCTTAGCATTGCCATCTCCAAGAGCAACAACATTGAAGTTCTCGGCAACTTTTGAATTGCGAACAAGGATTGAAGCAATGGCTGGAACACCAATTGCATTGATTCCGCCAATTGTCAATTGTGGCTGAGCGAGAGAAGCATCCTCAACGAACTCAACCTTTGTATCACACCAAGCAGCGACTGCCTCAATTGTGGAGCGGCGCTTGAATTCGGCTGGAATTCTAACTTGCGACATGACCAGGAAAAAAAATATACGACCGATACGAAAAGTGACATGAGAAAATTCATATGACCACATTTCTTCACAAAATTAGATATTGAAAAATCAAACATTACTTGTGGCACCATTTCGGTCGGAAATCAATAATTTTTTGAATTGGAATTCTGCCGAAAAACCGTTTTAATCGAAATTTGAAAATCAACTGAACTTATTACAAATTAAAAGTGTTGTTAATCAAATCATCTTATGCAATTATCTTTGTCTTTTCCTTGTATACACTTTTATCCATATGAAATTTCTCAAACTTGCATTATTAATCTTTACACAGAATTCTGTTGTCAATTTCTTCTTATAAAGCAAGTGCCAAACAGCCTAAATTTATCTGTCTTAATGAGATATGTCTGTTCTCTTGATATATGTCCATTTTAATCTATGCCTGTTATAAACTATCCCATCTAAGAAGAAAAGCATGCCATCACTCTTATATAATGTATTTCTATGCAAAAATATTTACAACTTCTTTAATTAACATAAATAGACTAATAATTGAAATATTTACTAAGTTTGAAGAGTATTGTTAGACAAAATGTTTGAAAAAAGGTTTATATTACGAAATAAACAACATAATTCTTTATTAACAATACTTATTAATTAATGTATCAACAAATCTTTTAATTTGCTTCGGGCCAAGTTGAATCTGACCTAAAACATTAGCAATGTAATTCCTCCCATCATTCTCAGTAACACCAAAATCAGCTCTAACAGCAACCAATATCAACTTCATCCAAGGATATTGATCAGGAATTCTCAAATTAACAGCAAATCTCAGTTTCTTTCTATCACTTGATATAAGAAAAGTAAGAGACCTTCCATCAAATATAACATGTGGAACCATCTTTGTTATTTCACGAATTTCTGTAATCAATTTCATGTTTCTGTTTGCAATTGATATATCAGTATAAAAATCATTTGCCGAAGTCGAATTTGTTCTTTCTACTTTAGAACCATTTGTTATCGTTACAGAAGGAGTGTCTCTCTTTGTAAAGATACTGTTAACTTTAAATGGAATCGAAGAAACAAGTAAATTATAAAGGATTTTGTATTCTTCGTCACTTTTTTGATTCTTTTGATTTTCTATATCGTTGCAAATCTTCAGAACATCATCACGAGTAAATCTTTTAGTTCCTAATTGATTTTGGGCCTTTCCTATTGTTGCTTTAAGAGGATTAACTACATTTGAAAGTTTTAATACTTCTGATTGAGCTGTCTTGTCAACTTCAAGGAGTCTTTCGAGACAATGTGCTGTAGCAACATTGGAATAGAACTCTTTCATTGTAGAAATGCTCTGAATGATGCCAGCTGTCTGATCGCTTGTTAAATTTGGATATTTTAGCATAATTTCAGGAGGTTCATCTGCAATTTCATTTAGCTTAACACTAATGGCCTTCCTTAAATCTTTTGTAATTGATTTAAGCTCTGCTGTCATAGATTTAAGTTGATTTATGTATTTTGATGTTGGAACTTGATTAACTTTGATAGGGAGGGATACTTGAATAGGATCGATAACATGAGTTGACTTGAAAAATGTATCGACGTTTGTACGAGATAATCTTCTTTTATTGAGCGATGATACTGAAAGTAAATTACTACTTTGAAATGGCTGTTGTTCATCTGTTACATCGAATTCAATATTCTTCTGTTTTGAAAAGAAAATGTTGAGATTTTGAGTATTTATATCGCTTGCTGAGTGATTTTCATTAAAAGTAACGCGGTTCGGTTGGTATCTTGATGCTGGTTTAGAAATGCTTTTAGGCTGATAAACGCTACCGATATCATTAATTTCTGTTGTTGAATCAAACTTTGGAGCCTTTTTAACAAGTTCATCAAACTCTATTGAGAAACTACTGTCATCTGAATCTCCTTTGCTGTTATTTATTTTATTTGAAATTGTCTTTTTTGTAAAAATCGGAGATAATTGTTTTTCTGTTACATCATTTGCTTCTTCAGCATCGTTGAATAAATTTAATTGATTTTTTGGCTCGTTTTTTTGTTCATACTGAACAAATGCCTTCATCATATCTTGCAAAGTTGGTGTTCCACAAGAAACTTTTTTTGGGAGATACAGAGTTTCCTCTCCAAAATCTAATCCGGAAGCTTCAGATCGGAAAGTCTTTCTAAATGTTGGCCGTGGCATTTCATTCATTTTTCAATAATATCTAAACGGTCACAATAAAAGTTACTCTATGAGATACTCTTGAATTTATAAATTATTAACGCTTCATTAGCAAGCATCAGTCATACTCAATATCCCTGTTGAAAATCTAAAAATATACATGTTTTTTATAACAGATATTGTTCGTTATATGGTAAATCATTATATTGTGCTTGTTATTTCCTATGATTATGTTATTTATAGTTTACACCTTCATACCCTTTGTTTTTTAGGCTTAACATTGTTTCCAAAAATGACATACAGAAAAATTATCATAATTGAATAGAAGAATTTCAATTCTGAAATTAAAAATGCAATAGCTTGTATATGAGTATTCATATGGGAATAACAAAACATTCGACTTAAAAATATCGTTTTTATAAATTATTATAAAATTTACTAGAATTTGCTTGAAAATTAGGAAAATTAAAAAATTTTGTAAATTTACTTCAGAGATATTATAATATTTTTAGTATATTATTCAAGTACTTTTCAAAATCACCCAAAAGTTTGTATTTATAACACTGAGCACTATATTCAATCTTCCATCAATATTAATTTTGATTTGATAACGTTTCTCTGGGTCTGGTGTGTGTTGATACGACGACACTCTGCAAGAGAGCTTATAAAACGACATTGAATTGACATCACAATAAATATTCCAAACTCGATCTCGAATATTATGAGATAATGCCGAGGACTTCACAGTATTCCATTTCAACTGATTTTATTTTTGGACATTTAGTTCCATATATGGCAGTCCCAACGGGAACCGCGGTAATTTACCGAGGTTTCCGCACACCGGTTCCTTTTTTTAGGAATTTTTTTAGATTAAAAAATATGCTTTGTAAATCATTTTTTGTAAATCGGCAAAAATTTGGAAATATTCTGACGACAATAAATCTGGGAATAGTATTTGAAATACGAGAACAACCTATTTAAAAGTGTTTCGCTCGATTTTGTATAATTTCAAATTTTCGCATATAGCTTTCCGTGAATTACCGTGATTTTACCGCCACATCAATAGTTTACGACACTTTTTCCGTAAATTGAGTAGTTTACCGCACTTTTTTCGTAAAATTGAGTTACGGGAATCCGTAAGATTACCGTACCTCACTTCTAGTTGAAAATAGCATTAGTATATAATAAATACATATATTATTCATATTTTTGATTTTGAATTACGGAAAAAGTGAGTTCAGAACTTCCAATTATTATTTGATTAATTATGTTAAAAATACTATAAGGAATTAAAATACATAATGTTGAAATTTGAATTACGGAAAAAGTGAGGGTGAAAGTGAAGTGAAAAAGTAAGATATTTTTTGTTGAAATAATCATAGTTGTACAATTTTGAAACTATATGTAAAGCTATAAATTGAATAAATTCAAAAACAAAAATTGTTTATTCTTATTAATAAATTTATATTAATCAATATTTGAACAACCCGTAATTAAAATTGAATTCCTCTTAAAATTTAATCCATACGTTAATTTTTAATTTGCTCGGCGAATGCCGAGCTTCCCTACTTCTCTTGTCATTCCTTCAAAAACTCTAATCTCATCGCACTTACAAACATCATGATTTGATGTATTGTCGAGAAATCTTAGACTTGTTTGTCATTTGATTATAGCATTTGAAAGTCATCTCGAAAATCGATTAACAAGACAATTTCCCAAACATCTACATACAAGTAGATGATGGTAAACCCATTAGAGTTGTTTTGCTATGATTCCTCCAATCTTATGATGAGAAAAATCATATCAAAACAGCTCTAATCGAACATTCTACACAGCTTAGCATCCAGCTAGTTCCAAGTAATGCGATTACAACATCAACGGCCAAAGCCTTTCAGAGTCCTTTAATCATTTCTTCTCATCTCAATGTGAAGTGGCCCCAAACGAACTACAAGATGACGTTACAACGCATTACAACCCGGTTAATACGAGCATATACATTAGAGCTGCTTTGTTATGATCTCCCTCATCAATTGATGAGAGATCTCATTATGAAGCAGCTCCAATCGAACTAAAAACCTACATACAAATGAGTGAAAACAAATTCATTAGAGTTGTTTTGCTTTGATTTCTCTCATCAGAAGATGAGAGATACCAGAACAAAACAACTCTAATCAAACTTTCTACACAACTCAGCACAGTATCAATGCAAAGTAATGCGTCTGTATCGTTAACAAGCAAAGTTGTTTCGGGTCCTTCCATTTTGGAAGAATTCGGAACAACTTTGCGAATTGATAGTGTAAACCCATATACATGAAAGCGTGCATGCATAAAGACAGGTATTGTCAGCAATGACTACCTGCCCAGCTATGAGTGATCAGAGAATTACCATCTCAGGCTTTTTGAGAACGTTTCAGCCAGGACCCTCGTATGTTGACTGTGAGAAAGGCATCCTTTATCTGAAATAGATGCTTTTCCAACAATCAAATTCGAAGATCTTCGACGTTGTTGTAAAAAGAGAAGGAGAAGGAAAGAAGAGGAAGGAGAGGAAGAAGGAAAGGAAAAGAAGAAGAAGAAAAAAGAAAAAAAAGAAGGACATATTAAATATAATGCGCACTTAATAGTGCCGAGGCGGCGGAGCCGCCGAGGCGCGATTTTTTTGACCCTATATTACCGCACGGCAATGTTTTTCTCGATTTTGTACAGCCCTAGTTCCATATCAAAATAAATATGAGAGTGACGATTAAAGACGATAAAAAATAAATGAATTTAGAGTATCTTCAAAGCTCTCATACTTTTCATGTAGAGAGAATTATTGATTTCCTGTCAAACAGCTTACCATTATGTGCACTTCATCAAACTCGATCTATAATCTTTTTCTGCTACGTATTTGCAGGTTTAATAGAGTTTTTACTTTATCCACCATATGCAAATGGAAATACTCCATTCGATTCAGTTGCCATTTACACACCAATTATTATTGTTATCGTACTTCATCTTTTATTATCAATTTTATACTCATTCGGCGCATTATTCGAAAGAGCCACATGGAAAACAGGCTTTGCACTATTATACCTTCTTCACACATCCATTCCTTTAGTTGTTTTCATTGGTGGAATTGTAATTTTCAATCTTCAAGAAAAAAATGTTGAATTTTGCTTTCTCACAACTTTTGCAGTTGCATTTTTCATAGATTTTCTCTGCGGTGTAATATCAAGACCATCACAACATGTTTCTCTTACATTTGAAAGTATTGGCATTGTTCCATCGCTTATTCTATTTGCTCTCTATTCAAAAGGTAAGATCCAGAAGTACTACATACCATTTATCCCGTTATTTGCATATTATGCTCTTTATCTCTTATTATTACTCTTCCTTACTCCAATTTTCAAAGGATGCCATGGATGTGCACTTACTTTCTTCTCAGATCCCGAAATAGCTGCAGAATTTGCAGCTTCTGTTGATCCACAGCTAAAACCTTTCAAGAATAGAGCTGATTGGGCAGATGAACCAGATGCCATCGGATCTGACCATGGCAGCAGAAGAGAACCAAGAAGCAGATGGTCAAGAGCTCAAGATACCGAGAATGTTACGAGATTCCCTGCAAGAGCTCATTTCCAGCTTTACAACGTCGATGCAACACCAGATACACCTCTATACTTGGCTTCTCCACTTCCGATGTTCGCAACATTACTCCTAACTGTCTTAGTTTTCATAGAAATCAGATCTCCTTTATCCAACTTCTATTTCTGGCTTGGCGGAGCTTTAATTATTCTCCTTATCTCTATTGTGGTCAATTCTAGAGCAACATCATGCTCTTGCCTTGCTTTTACAAACCTTGACACAAAATGTGTCGATATCTTATGGGATCACCCAAGCCTTTCAATATTATAATTTTATTGTTCATGTTTATATATAATAATAAACCTTTTCTTTCGTATAGATCATATTTTGTTGAAAATTTTGAAAAATTCTGCTCACTAAGGGAATGACCGCATCCATTAATATAGAAATTATATTAAAATTAAACCATGCCTATGTGCTAAAAGTTTTAGAGTATAAATACATAAGATTCAACATTGAATCGAACATTATTTTAGTAATTATCTTTAAGGTTGTCGAATTCATAATTTTCGTATGAAACAAATTACCGAACCAGCAATATTGATCGCTGGTTTCAAAATTGAATTCCCAGCGGTAAATATCGGAGACATATTTGTGATATTATATGCTTTATCGCTTAATTATACAAGAAACTCTAATGACAATCAGTTTATTTTGTTTTTTAGAAGCGTGCAACTGAAATTTTCATCAGGCCAACATTAAATGCTGGTCATTTAGTAAAAGGACAAGTTCTATTCGATTTTAGGACCATTCTATCCAATAATTTTCAGTTTTGCAACTGCAATCATTTTGCCATCATTTTCGATCTCTGTCAGTATGTAAACTATTCAATTTTAAATCGTCAATTGAAATTTTCGATTTTTGAACAGATTTCACTTTTTTTATACCTCTGAATTTAAAATCTTTCCTGACCGTTGCATATATATTCCATTGGAGTATTGGCGAATAAAAATCAACTAAAAATGTTGAACTGGAATTTCAAAAGATTTTGAAAATAAAATCTTCTTGATTTTACCCCAGAAATGAAGTTATCTTAAATAACAACATATATATTGTATATATATCCTAAAATAACAAAAATACACAATATTGTCCTCCTTGTCTTAATCAAAATGACTGAGAATGAGCCGAAAAAAGGCACAAGAATTTCAATTCTCCTATATATTCCTGGGCAAATAGTTCTAAAGATTGGTGCAAGCAGCAATGCACATGTTTCAGCGCTTAGGAAAGCTCTTCCGAAAAATCAGGAATTTAATTTATACTACGAAGGTACTTTACTCAATGATGTCTTTACTCTTTCAGCCTACGGAGTAAAGAATCTGGATGTAATACTAGCATTGCATCCGAATTCAAGAACAGATATTAATATCAACTGGCTAAAGAACTCTAGCCCTGAAGTTCTAATGGAAAAACTAGAACAGGCTAAGAATTATTCTTGTAGGCAGGAAATGCTTCGTTTGAATGATTTACAGATGTCAAAAATTGACTTTTCTCAGCATCAATTTCAGAGGTTTGCTAGAAGCATTTCTGCACCGAGCATTCCCGAGAGTGATGAAACTGCTGGAAAAGTTAAATCTCCCAGTGATATTAAAACAGGCAACCCAATGCAAGGCAAAGATCCTTTACCCTGTTTTTGGGTTGAAACTCCATATGATGGGCCATTATGTCCGGATGAAGAAATACAACAATTAATCAAGAAACCACATTGATTAATTTTATATAGGACACAATCACATAGATTTCAAATGAAATGAATCTATGCCACATGTCAAGCCCTTCTGACTTTTGATGAATCGAATTTCAGCGAATATTTATATATTAGTTTGTATATTAGTAATACTAGATGTGTTTTATGATACCAAAGGGAATATCCTTCCTTAATTACCCCAAGTCCCTTAATTAATATAGAGAACTCAAATAAATGTTTGATTATAATTATCAAAAAATTCCAAGGTCAAAGTTGAAGGAAGGATCGTAAGCTTTTTCGGTGATACGATGAGAAGTCGAATATGGAGTGCCTATTTCTTTACAATTTTTTTATTTTATGAGTTTCTGATATATTATTTCAATTCAATTTGATTTATACGATAACATGGACTTGTCACATGCATCTTAACATTATGTCGTGTGAGAATGACTACTTTATCATATTTCTGATTTATACTCTTTTCTTTCGTATCTGAGCCTTTAACAGTTTTGTTATTTAGATTATGAGCAAGCGAATTTTTGAGTAAGAGATAATCTAATTGAATTTAATTTCAATTTGAATTTTGAGTGTGAAAGGTAAAAAAATATAGAAGATTTTTAAGATATAATAATTTAAGACAAATCAAAAATAGCAATTACCACTTGTGGTTGCCATAAAAAGCAAGTAAATGAAGAGAAAGAGAAATTATCATAAAGATAACGCCAATGATTAACTCTTGATGGTCAGAGAACTTGTAAATAAGAACCCCTGGATTTTCTCCCTTTATAACGTAGTTATCGTAACATTTGAGAATTTCTTCCAAAGGAATATTTTCATAATATGTATGCGCTTCAGTAATTTTCTTATCAACAAGTTCCCTAATGGCACCATCCCATTTGGTAATGTTTTCAGTTGTGCAAAAATCTGGAATCGTTTGATGCTTAGACTCCAAATATCTTCTAGCTGGGAAATATGTGAATGTCATTGAAAACAATAGCATAAAGAAAGTGAAGTAAGAAACAAAACTGTTTGCAAAAAATCTTTTGAAAGCGCTTGGAGACTCCAAAATAGCTTTGACAATTGGAGTATTTGGAATACTTGGAGAGAGATAATCTTCGCGCAAAGGAGTCCTCATTGGAGATTTAAGAGGTCGATAGCATGGAGATGATTGGCGAGAGGAAGTAGGGGTTGATTCGGAGCTTGATTGGAAAAGCTGGCTTAAAGTTTTTCCATTTGGTGTTGGATCTGGAATCTTAGAAAATTTCTTTTCAGACATCCTTGATAAAAAAAATGAACTGACGAATTACATGTCAAAATCACTTAGAATTCTTTAAATTTTTTTCCATTTGGCGGGACATTTTTGTCAAAAATCCAAATTTACGTGACAAAATCATGCGAAAATTTAAAATACGATAGGTTCCAGCCAAGTTGAGTATATAAGTTGATCAATATTGGTATCATAAAATGTATTGGATAAAGAAGCATTTCTAATTCTTATCATATCATGTGACTTTCGATTATACTGTAAATCGGAATAATGTATCAATCAGTGACCATTGATGCAATTTTATCTTATATTTCTTAACAGAGATTATTAATCTATCAAGCGATGGTCTTGTTTTCAAAATTTTAAATATGAAATTTATTAAAATCACTTTTTATTTGAATATTTGGCTAACAATGTATTACCCTGCCTGCATTAAAATAAAATCCGTTGATATTTATATTACTCTGATGGGACCCATGTGTTTCCATAATAAGGGATAAAGAATGCAACAATACTTTCAAAGAATTTGTAAATTGCTACGTAAACAAACTCTGGTATTAAGTATCTGAAGAATTCGAGAACGCCAACAGCAATTTGGACGCAGAATTTAACATCTTTCTTATCAAACCAAAGAGTATTGCTGATATGGCCTAAATCTGTGAGCCAGTAGTAAGCATTGAAGGCGACAAATACCTCAAAGAGGATGATAAAGATGTTGAAGCACTTCGCTTCCTTTGGTTTTGTTGCTTTGAAGTAAAGAAGGACGAGGAAGTACTGAGCCATGCTGCATCCAATAACTGTAATGGAAATCAAGAAGAAATCGGCCGGATATTTGCTATCTGCTGTGTCTGTAAAATTAACAACCGCTTGACCAATTACGTAGCCTCCGAAGAAGCCTAATATTGGTCTGAAGAGACGGAAAATCTTGAATATGATGTCGAATGGTGTGAAATTGAAGAGTATCCAGATAGGAAGGAATAAAATGATAAAATCTTGCTGTTCAAGAACAGGAAGATGGAGATTTGACAACACTGCTTGCAAGTTAAGATGCATTGTAGAGAAAAATAGTGAAAGAACGAATGATACTATCTTAGAACGGATTGGAATATATTGTCTGATGAAATAACAGCTGGCGAGTACGTTAATTGTATAAAGAATGAGTTCATATGAAATTTCTCCAATAACCTTGACCCAAGATTTGAAGTCTTGAGGCTGAAACTCTGAAAAATCTATGGTGAAAGAATCAATTATATCCCCCAACATTTCTCTTCGAGTTTACATGTCAAATTTCAATGTCAGAAAAATTCAAACATTGATTCTGCTCAGAATGATTAGATCTTTAACCTGAAGGAATTTAACCCAATTCACAAGGAAATTCGTCTAAAATCTGCTTTGATTGATATATTTTTCTTGATTTTTACATTTCAATAGCACTTAAGCATTGATTTATTTCATACTTCAGTTGGATATTCCAGGTCTGATGCTTTTAATTGGGCTAACACATAAATCTATCACTATTTACTTTATACTTTGCAATTTCTTAGGATATCAAGGAATGATAAGATAACTTAGTAACTAATTTGGCTGTTTAGGTGCAAATGTTCTATAGTTTTCATTTTAAAAGAAGATATTAAATAATATAATTTAAAAACTACTAAAGAAAAGAGTTTTATTTACTAACTACTTTATCTGTATGAAAAGTAGATATTATAGTTTTACTGAAACGTAATAGTATAAATTTTAAATCAATAATTCAAACTTATTTCTGATTTTCTTTTGCCTTCTTCTGAAGGTCTTCAGCGAGAGCCGTGTTTCCCATCTTATTGGCGACATCAGCAGCCCTTGCATACAACTTTCTGTCCATTAATTTCTGGAGTTTTTCTTCTTTGTTCGGAATCCTTTCAACAAGTGCTGCCCCCTGTTTTTCAAGATTTGCTTCAAATAACAGATCTGCCATGATTCCAAGTGGCATTTTAGTGGAAACAGATTGAACAAATCCGTCTATTTTACCACGTAATGCCTCGTATTTGATGTATGTCTTCAACTTGGTGAAATTAATGAATTTATCGTCAAGTTGATATTGTTTGGTCACTTTATTAAACAATTTCTCGTTTTCGGTTACCAACGCGCGTTCCATGATCTGTCTAGGGCTTGGAGCCGGTCCTGTTCCGTTGATATCGGCCGGTCCTGATGGAAGGCCAACGAGCATTTCGTCTACCGCGATCTGGTTTCGAATTGCATCGCCAAACGGAGAGTGCTTTTCCTTCGGGAAGTACTTCATACATACTTCTAACTGGGTAGGAGTCCTTCCAAACAAATCTGGAGGGGTTGTATGAATCATCGTAAGTTCGGCGAGTCTATTTGACGAGAGAGCGCAATTCTCAAGTAATGACGTATTGATAAAACGCTGAAAAGCTACGACTTGGTCTAAAACCATTTGAGATGAATTTAAGAAATTGAATTTTGTCTTGTCTGTAACCGACGTAAATCTAACTCTGAAGAAATACCTGATGAATGCATCGCCATCTTTGAGCTCGTTGAGGGATGGAACAAGTTGATTTTCATATGCAGGGTTCTGAAGGGATCTGATACGAATAACTGGGTCTCTAATACGCCTAATGATGCTGCAAATCGATTGAGGATCAGAGCCAACCTCTCTTGCGAAGAGAGATAATCTTTGATAATCGATATTTTTATATGGCTCAATTCTCTGTAGTACAAAGTCGACTCTGTAAGGATCTTTAGCCAAAACGAACATAGCCCAGGCCATAGCGATATCAGAAGTATCAGATTTGCCAACAATTTTCGCCATCGCCTCTGCCAAGTCAAATAATCTAAGATTTGCGCAGTATGAGACGAAGGAATCTTTGTTGGCAAGTTCGTACATCGTTCCTGTAGTTAAGAAAGAATAACCTGTTCTGTCGATTTCGTTGGCTTCTTGAGGTCTACGTAATGAGAAAAGCATCCTTACGACTTTAATTGTATTCGCGAATTCTTCGTGATTGAAATTATGGATCTGGTACTTGGCAAATGCAGCTGCAGTTAATAATCGTTCGACAGCATCAGCATTCATGATGTAAGGAGCGGCGGCGATAATTTTTTCGACTGTTTGCTGAAGGATTTGGTTGTTTTCTTCGAGAATTGCGTAACATGTGATATCATTGTCAAGATAGCTTTGATAGGCTTGGATTAGGAGACTAACGCGATGTGCATTTGTAGGTAGTAATAATTGCTGTACGGATTTCGGTATAGGAGTTAATGTATAAACGTCAGATCCGTAAATTCGAACTCCATCTTCATCGTCAGCGAGCAATTGAACATTTGAAACAGGTATTGGTATTGGAGAATTAAATCCTAGCTGGAGAGCGACAGTTTGTGTTTGTGTGGCCAAAATAACTGTATTCTCATCAATCCAAGCGAAATCAACGATTCCTGCAGCCGGAAGTGTAACTGTTCCTGCAACTGCTGTTTGTACAATGTATAATCCTGTATCGTTGATGCATGCCACGGCTTTTCCGCTGTAATGGAGTTTAATTTGAGAAGGAGCTGTAGGAGCTGTCCAAATTCTCGTAACATCAGTGGCATTGAAAGCGAAAACTTCGTTGCTTTCAGTGACGATAATGCCTTTATCAGGTTTGGCTGAATAATCAATTAAAGTTGGAAAAGAATTTTGTGATAAGTTGCCGTAAGGATAGAAGTTGTCATTTTCGGAATTGAATACGTAGATGTTTTTCTTTTCATTTACAAAGGCAATACCGAAATTGAATTCTTTTGCACAGCAAATCGTGAGATGCTCTGGAGGCTCGTAACGTCTGATAACTTGGCCGAATGTGGAAACTACAGAGACAGTTGAGTCATAGTGTAAAACGCCAATATTGCCATCAAACCACCAGAAAATCGAATGAATATCATCTATTTTAAGCATAACTTTCTGAAATACAGGAAATCCGCTATTGTTAATAACGCTTATGTAGTTTTTGGCAGATCTGTGAAGGCGAAGGAACATTCCGCCATAAGGATAAGGAATAAGTTTTCCTCCTCCTGCTTGATTTATGATGGCGGTGTTGAATTCGTAATGCTGTTTGAGTTGGAAGTCTAAAAGACCAACTTTAATCCAATCTTTCTTGATTCCTAACTCTTGCATTTTTGTCAAAACCGCAATTCACTGAAATTAGGTGTTCTTTAATCCGAAAATGAACAAAGAATTGAATATAACTTATCAAAAAACATTCTTTTATGAGCTTTGTTTGGCTGAAAACTGAACATAATACTAGGATTTTCAAAATTCATGAACTTACTAGCTGTTTTTCATGAATAAAGATGTAGCATTAGTTAAACATGATAAGGTTGGATCTTCTTCTTAGACAATTTGATTGAAAATCGTAGAATAATACTAGAATTCTCAAATTTCCGTATATTTTGTGATATATAGTCACATTTCACTATATCATTAGTGGATACATTAATGATTTAAACATTATAATTATATCATTGACTGATAATTACTTCATTCTATTTGTTTATCATTTGATGAAAGTAAAGAGTTATTCACTACTTGAATTTGATCAGAACAAAGCACATATTAATCCATAGTAATACTAATTTTTCTGAAATGTAGGAAGAAAAATTAAATATTATTGAAATTTACTTAATACTTTGACGAGATAAGATATAATACAAAGGGATTATGGTTGTTAAATAGTTGATTATATATTAACAAAGAAACAACAAAACTTTATTAAAATTTATTGATATGCTACAGGATTTTTGAGATGCATGGGATCAGTTCCAGCGCCTTCCTTATTGTAAACATTTGTACCCGTGTAATTCGATTCAATTCTCTTAGATCCGTGGTAAAGATAAGTTGGAGTCTGAATTGCGCCAAGAACTACAGTATTGATAGCATCTGGAGGTACATCAGTGACAACATACATAATTCCTTGGGCTTTATCAATCGCTTTAACAAATCCGTAGCCAATAATTGGCATCGGAGTAATTTTTCTCAAAATTGTCACTAATTTCTTGTTTGGAGGGAACTTTCTAGTATCATTAAACAAAGCAACAATGGATCCGTTAAATGCCATCAAAATTTCTGTTGGATCAATTTTAACGTTAATTAAACGCAAATGAATGGTTCTTAAGTTCAATGCTATTGGTACTTGTTGTGAAAGAGTTTTGTCCCATGATTCAAAGTATGAAATAAAGCGTAATTCTCTTTGTCTGACAGGAGATGTCTTAAAAATGCTGGCTCTTGGTGTTATTTCTGCAGTAAAAGCGTATCCGCGAGGGGGAGTAACTTGCTCGTTTGGGGATGTAAGCATTATCAAGTTTTCTGGTAAAATTAAATTTAATATTCTTTTATGCAATTCTAAACCGAGATCTTTGACCCATCCGAATGAATTTATAACTACAAATATATCTGGAGGTATTTCTTTGATCAATTGTTCAAGGCAATCGAAATAATGTTTGATATTATCACTTAATGAGACACTTCCATAGTAATATGAGACTTGAGCAAGTCTGGAATGCCTTTCTGCTGGTCCTAAGAGAAATGATGTCAAAATAGAGAATGAAATCGATCCTGGAAGTGAGATTTCTGGTTGGCCAGGATCTAAATCGAGAAAGCCGACTTTACCATGTAGAGATATAATTTTATTGGTTAGTACTTTCGAGAATGTTGATTTTCCAACTCCTTTGCCTCCACAAAGGAAAATTTTCGTTGGTTTTTTCAAAATCATGTTATCTACGAATTTAATGAGTGATTGAGGATATTCTGCACCACGCATCATTGAAGAATAATAAATGTAATTGCCTAATTTTGTAAATCCATCAGGTGTTCTTTTAATATCATAAATATTTGTTTCAAACTTTGAAAGCATGGTAATATCGATTTCACTGATTCTCATTGTGAATGGTTCTGATGATTCAAATGATATTGGAAGATTATTCGGTGGAGCAAAAATATTTGACATGAAACCTGGAGTAAGAGTCGCACCATTCAAGTAAACTGTTCCGTTCAGGATTTCGATATTCATGGCACCATAAAAACTATGTGTTCCTGGTTCAAAATCTTGTATTACACTATTCATAAATGACCCAGTCAAATTTTTCATATCACATGTCTTATGACATGCGTTGAATGTAAGAACAATCCATCTAAATACAAATGTCCGATGTGCAAAGCTGGATATTGTTGCGTGAATTGTTTTAAGATACATAAAACTCACTGTCCTGGTAAAATCCAAGAAAATCAAAAAAATAATCAACAAGAAGTGAAAGAAATTCCGTCTTTTGAAGTATTTCGATCAAACGAAAAGATATTAAAAGCCTTGGGTGATCCTCGGCTTCAGAAAATCATTTCTCGAATTGATTCTGCTGAAGATCGCGAAGCTGATCTAGTCAGAGAGTTAAATATCAATCCAGACTTCAAAGAATTCGTCGATAATCTACTAGATACAATGCCGGAAACAATTCAACCATAATTTCAATTTTTTTCCAAAAAAATTACTTTTTTTATATCTTGTTTTAAATCAAAATGCATCAATCTTATATAAAGCTCTATATAGATGTAACATTGCAAATTTTCAACAAATTACTTGATTTTTCTTATTTTTAGTAATAAGTTTTCAAGTTTTTCTAAGTGCTTACCGACAGATTGTCCTCTATAGTGGATTCTATTAATTTAAGTATTAAGAATTGTTTATGGAAATAAATTTGTTTTTTCATGAATTTTAGTTTGAATATTAGGAATTGTGTACATTTATTGCAATGTAAAATTGTTATTTTGTGTTTAACTTCTTATTTGAGGTTCAATTTATAAACTCATCTCATTTTTATACTAATGCTTAGAGACACCATCATCTATTGCATTGAAACAATGATCCTACGATAATATACCTATCTTTTTATTTACTATTCCGGTGATCATAATAGAGGCGATTCCAAAAATGTTAAATAATAGTTAGTCAGCGAGAAAGTTTTTTCTTCGATTTCGGTGAGAATTTAAATGATGTTGTTACAACAGTTGTGATATGGAGAAATGTCCTGCGAATTCACTTCAGTATTCAGTATTAAAAAAAAGACATTATATAGTAAAACTATATCATGATCTACTTAAGAACATACAGCATTGGAATTTGACGACTATTTCTTATGAGTATAAGACATACTTCTCCGATTTATAAATAATTAACTTAGAATCAAACTAACTATGATGTGGAAATATTAGGTTATGAAGAGTTAGAAATGTTTACTAAAGTTTGTAAAAAAAGAGAAAGTTTATTAACTTTAGAAATACTTTTATTGATAATTGCAAATTCTGCTTGGCAATTACCAGTTGAAAAATGAATCAATTTGTTAGTAAATAGTTCTCTTGTATTAGTAGGTACTACATTTCTATAAAATGTTGATGAAATCGAATTGTCAATGTAACAATTATCAACTGTTGTTTGTTCATCATCATTGTTATATATCAAATATGAACCTTGAGGAACAGTGTTGTTAATAAAAGAACAACTTTTTACAGTAAGAGAATTATCTGTATGGTAAATAATTCCATATGTTGATTTTGTTTTGGTATTATTTATAATATTACATGAATCAAACATGGCGTTATACCAAAAAGTTAGAATCATTTGTTCTGTTGCTAAATTATTAACAACAGTTGTATAGTTATATTTTGTTGTGTAAATAAGATTTGGACTTTTTTAAAAAACCAGTTTGGTCATAAATACCTTTACATGATGAGAAATTTGTTGATGAAACTACAATATTATCACATTCTGCATAAATAGTACCTAAACCAACACTTTCTTTTCCTAAATCGAAAAGGGAACTTTCAATAATAAAGTTTAAGTTATCTGTGTCAACTTTTGTATATGAAAATTGTCCGCTTTTAGTGCTTTGGAATTTTGTACAGCAGAATTTTCGTTGAACAATCGAACTATTACTGCCAATTTGGAAGAAAATGCAACTTCCTTTTTCTGTTGAAGTGCATTTACTAAAAGAACACCGATTATGTAGGAATAATGAGTTAGTAATTGGATTAAAGCTGATAAATCGGTCTTTATCATCAAAAAAATTGCACTCATCTAAGTAATATTGACCATTTAAGGATGATGGATTGCAGTTTTTGCATGATTTGATTTCTTCACCTGTAAATTGAGTGTTAAAGTAATCTCTCCATGGATCATCATCTGATGAAGATGACTTCCCCGAAAATTAATGCAATTGACAAAAAACGGTTTCAACTTCCCCTGAGAATTCGTTGTCTTATCTTTCTGTGACGTTAAATGAATAAAATCAAAGCAAAAAGAGCTATATCCTTAATACTATATGATTCTAATTCCCCCAGAGTTTGATTTGCTTTCATTCAGGGTAATAATACTTATTACATACATGAACCTATATTAGTAAGCATTGCTAAGGGAATTGAGATGACGCAAACTATCCAATAAATTGAAAATGCATGAATATTAAGTTTATATTTGATGTTTCAAAAAACAATGAAATTTAAATTTATATAAATAAATAATTTATTCTCTATTCTTGCTAATAGTAAGCTTAGCGAGCATTGGCAGGAGCTCAAGTTCTTCTGCCTTGATTGCAGATTTCTCTTCGATGTCAGCGAGACTCTCAAGTTGTTGTCTGATGCTGTCAAACTTAAGTTGTCTCTTGAACAGTTTCTTATCAGACATATTTGCAGCCTTGATTGAAACAAGTAACTCTCTAAGAACATCCTTGAATCCATCCAATGTCGCTGTGACAGTCCTCAATTTAGAACTGACTTCATTTCTGACATCTGCAAAAATGACATTTTCTGACAAAACATTTGCAACTTCATTATCGAATTCTGTCTTATTTATAGACATTAAGTTAATGACCTTATAGAATTCCCAAAGTGTCTTAGCCAATGAATCGAAAACCTGCAAGTGATATGTATCAGAAATCGCAGTAAACAAAGTATGAACGATATTCTTTGAATTTTGGATAATCATGTTATGATTTCCATCTCTGCAAATTTCGAAAACATGTCTTAACAGTTTGCAAGCTTCCTTTCCAATTGTTGCTCTTGCATCTATGATGCAATTTGTTGCCAGTTCAATGATGTTCTGTAAATCTTCTTCAGGAATAATCCAAAACCTGAAATACTGCAAAACACACATAACTTTTTCATGTTCCCACATTGTCAAGAAAGGTTTTACATATGTTTCTCGGACTTGATCTCCATATGATTCAACAGGAGGGAACTGTCTTCTTAAATCATTGATAGCGTTAAGTGCTGATTCAGGCATTGCCGTAGAATTCAACAAAATATCCATCAATAATTTTGTGGCTTCAGCAACATCAGAAATGTCAAATTGTTTGAAAATCATAATCAATGTTGCTGTTGCTTGCATGAAGAACAAAGAATCTCTCATGTCTCTTGCATGTTCAACTAAACCTAACAAAGGAACATAAATAGCATTAAGACGTGGTTTTACACCAGGTAAATCCATTTCCGCTAATTGTGCAATTAACTTCAATCCTCTTGAAATTGCTTCTCCATCATCACTTTGTAATTGCGAAATTGCTCCATCAAAAAGATATTCGTATATTACATTTCTTTCTTCTTCTTGGTTCGTCATTGATTTCGCTATTCTTGCAATTCCACAATAGATTCTTAACGCGTTTTCTTCTGATAATGATGCCCATTGGTTGCATCCTTTAACAACTTCTTCGTATAATGGTGTTGTATTATCAGATTGTTTGTTTTTCCAGAAAATTTGTGGAGATCTACTCGCGGAATACATGAAACTTCCACTTGTTGCTTTAGAAAGCTTTTCATCTTCACTTGAGAAGTTTTCTGCAAGTAGATGAACGAAACTCTGAAGAAGAAGAGGGATGGCGGAAATACTGCGTGTTGAATGACTCAAATAATACAAAAGTGAACAAGAGAAATCAGCGGAAGAAGCGCTTTGATTGTAATTTAATAAAGCAGGTAATGTTGTTTCAAGAACTTCTTGTTCCATTTGCATATTTAACACAGTATTAAGTATACCTAATGCATAACAAATCTTTGGAGTCATTTGTGTCTGATTTTGTATGAAACTAAATACATCATCAGATTTCATCGAACAAATCGCAACCCATGATGCTTGTGCACTCAAGTTCTTGATTGTACCGCCTGATATAGCTGTTTCCAATGAGTTATAGAAGGATTCAATCATTTGATTCATTAATTCATCATCAAAAACAGCTGTTACAGGAGTAAGTGAATCAAAAATGTTCTTTGACTTCTTCGATTTGACTAATCTCATCAATATATCGCGCCACAGATCCCAGAATGACTCAATACATGATTCGGATGGCTCTGTATTCAAAATTCCATAATAAATTAATTGGACAATCGTGAAATTAGGCTGGGTAATGGAATCTTCGTATACACACATGTCTTCTATCATGTGGGTGTAGCGGAAGAGGTATTTAAGGATGAATTCATAGACTTCTTCGGTTAATTCAAGATGAGATATTTCAATTTCTTTTAATTCGCGTAATTCGTCTTCAAGAAGGGCTTGGAGCTTCTCATCTTCGAAGTTCTGGAAGAATCTCATCAAATAAACAATGATTTCTTGGTAATGTTCGTGGAAAATTTGATCGGAATCTTTTCTTTTCATTAAAATGTTGGAAAGAGTCTGTATAGCAAGATCATTGAGCTTCTCGTCTAATATTAAGTTAGTAAAGAACGCTTGGAGTGAAAATGTCTCGAAAATTTTCTCAATTGGAGCGGTCAAGCATAATGATTTGAGTAAATTAAGGGCTGGACCCTTCATTAGCTCGGGATCGTAATTGGATAATGCTCCATTTAAGATATTGAAGAATTGCTCTGTAAGATCTGATGCTAATTGCGTTAATTCGTTTCTTCTTTGTGTTGTTAAGTTGTCGCTTTCGCTTATTTGCTCTAAAATCTTTGATATTACACTGAAACTTTTAATGCAATGCTCTGGACTATCGGCACAGCGTTGAATATAGTAATCCATGCATGAAGGCCAATCGTGAGGCCAGTCTTTAAGAGCCATTTCTGCAATGATTTCAACTAAATAATCGAGAATTCCTTGATGGCCTTCGAAATTATCGAATTTGATGCTAAATGTTTCTTTGTAGAAAGTTCTTGCGTTTTCTGGATATTTAACCCAGTTTGAAACAACACATTTCTTTGCTCTTGGGAGAATTGAGAGTAATAGATAATGATCATCTGGTTGTTCACGTAATATTTGACATATCTGATTCAAGCAATCGTTAGACATTGACCATTCATATAAGTATGTTTGTGCTTTGTCATCCTGTGGATTTTTCCTCATTGTGTGAATAGCCTCCAGCACATTTTCGAGCGGAAAAGCCATTTTTCACAATGATTTTGTCTCCAAAATTTTCGATTCTCAAAACATAAAAATATAGCAAGAACTCAACATAAAGAATTTCATACCATATAGATATATTTTTTATGATAAATAGCTGCTTAAATCAAAAGAATACAGATCAATGTCTCAATATTGGTTATTGATCTTGCATAGTAGGACTTCAGATAGTTTATCTACAAAAAATGCATATTCATATAGATTTGATTCCAAAATATTAAATCAAAATGATTATATTTCCATTCTTTTTATAAAAATTTAATATTTATTGACTTTGTACCCTTTGTGTTATTATTTCAAAATTATTAAGCTATAGAATTTGATCAATTGTTTTATTAAAAAGTGACAATGAAAATAAAGTTATGCAAGGATATAAAGAAGAAATCGGAAGTGAAATACCCAAAGAGTCAAATTCTAAAGAAGGTAACTATGATGTTAAGACACAGATGATATATCAACAAGTTTCTCTTATTTTAAATTCTCAATCCAACGAACAAACTATTGATCTTCTTTCAGAACTCAATGATATTCTATTATCAGACAAAACCCTTATAATCCAAGGAAAAAATTGGAATTTTTGTGAAATTCTTCAAAAAATAATTATTAATTTATATAATTCTGGTTATGATTGGACAATAGCATTAGATGCATTAGTTAATTGGCAATTTGTTATGATTGATGATAATTTTATCACATTAGATTTTTTTGATTTTATTTGCAATTTATTAATAGAAGAAAACAATAATGAAAACATCATGGACATAGAATTATTCGAAACACTTATTTGCTTCGTTGATAACACAATTATTGATAATCCTGATATAATTAAAGTATTTTCAGATAACTATGAAGATTTTTTAGGATATCTCACTGACAAATACTATAAAACAGATATTATTTCAATCAGATATGCAATCACATCAATATTTGAAGCAATTTCAACAGGTTTTCAAACAAATCCAGAAGTTAGTCTTAAATATCTTGATTTAATTGTAGAAACAGGAACTATATCAAATGAAAAATCACTTCAACTCTTTGTTTCCTTTCTTGAAGATCAAAATTTCCTTGAATATTTTTCAAATACAGATCTTTTTGAGAAAATTACAAAATCATTAGTATATATTGATAGATTCATTCCTTTGATGATAAAAGCAGTTAATGTTATGCTTAAAAGCAATAATGAGAGTGCACTTTTATTAATTAGAGAATTTGATCCTGTTTACAGTCTATTATATGCTAAATCAGCAGACAGTACATTTCCAAAGGCCGAATACTTTTCAATGTGCCGCAAATATATAAGAATTTTGTCTGATTTCAAAATTCAATTTTTATTTCTCAAATTTTTCCAAGAAAGTTTCACAGAAAGTTTGATACAATATCAAGTACAAACTAAGATGATAAAACTTCTTAATGAAATACTTAATTTTTATCAAAATTCCCAAGAAAACATTCAATTGATTGTTAATTATGAAATGATTCAGAAAATAATTGATTTACTTGATCCAGATCACGTAGAAATATCAAAAATATGTATTGAAATCCTATTTAAATTAGTAATTGTTGGATGTAATATTAATCCTTTTGTAAAAAACGAAATCAGTCTTAATATTGATCTTAAAAATGCAGATTACTTGGACTTTAAACTATTTTCTAATATACTTGACTCAGAAGAGTTTGATTCTATAATGGGAGAACTTGTAAATGAAGTTGATGATGAAAAATTTGTTGAAGAAACTAATGAATTTTATGACAAATGCAAAGAAATGATAAACAAATATCATCAATTAGAAATGGATCAGATAGAAATCGAATATGATGAAGAGGAAGAGTATGATTACGATTCCTTTACTGTTGTATAAAAAATTTTCCGACCATGCTTATAATGAATTTTTGCTAAGATTTCTTTCTGTTTTTGAGATTTATGTTAATATAGTAATAATTTAGATGGCACTAATTATAAAATCTCATAAACTCATTATCAAACATTGAAGTTACTAATGCTTCAAGCACCAATCGAGAATAATATCTCTTAATTATAGAACTAACTATGATGTGGAAATATTAGATTATGAAGAGTTAGAAATGTTTACTAAAGTTTGTAAAAAAAGAGAAAGTTTATTAACTTTAGAAATACTTTTATTGATAATTGCAAATTCTACTTGGCAAATATCAGTTGAAAAATGAATCAATTTGTTAGTAAATAGTTCTCTTGTATTAGTAGGTACTACATTTCTATAAAATGTTGATGAAATCGAATTGTCAATGTAACAATTATCAACTGTTGTTTGTTCATCATAATAGTTATATATCAAACATGAATATTTAGGAACAGTATTGTTAATAAAAGAACAACTTTTTACAGTAAGAGAATTATCTGTATGGTAAATAATTCCACTTCCTGATTTTGTTTTGGTATTATTTATAATATTACATGAATCAATCAACGCATTATACCAAAAATTTATTATAGCTCCACTAAACTGCTGCTAAATTATTAACAACAGTTGAGAAGTTAAATTTTGTTGTGTATTTTTGTAAAGGACTTTTAAACCAACCAGCAGGTATTTTATAAGCTTTACATGATGAGAAATTTGTTGATGAAACAACGATATTATCACTCTCTGCTTGAATAGAACATTGACCAACTTCATTTCCTACATCAAAAAGGGAACTTTCAATAAAAAAGTTTAAGTTATCGGTGCCAACTAAAGTATATGAAAAATGTTCACTTTTAGTGCTTTGGCATTTTGTACAACAGAATTTTCGTTGAACAATCGAACTATTACTCCCAATTTTGAAGTAAATGCAACTTCCTTTTTCTGTTGAAGTGCATTTACTAAAAGAACACCGATTATGTAGGAATAATGAGTTAGTAATTGGATCGAAGTTGATAACTCGGTTATTTTCATCAAAAAAATTGCACTCATCTAAGTAATATTGACTTTTACCTGCTGAGAGATTACAATTTTGGCAACCATGAGTCTGAGCTCCTACAAATTCGCTTGCAAAGTAATAATCCCATGAAAAGTCATCTTCATTCGAAATTTATAAAAATTGACAAAAAAATTTCCTCACAGATCTGGCAACAATAAAGTATAGTTCAAGCATTAACATTTATTTTTATATATAAAGTTCTTTGGCGGCGAAAAGTTCCACACGGATTTACATTAAAGGACTCTGAGATGGAAATTGCAGTAATTCGTTTTCCAAGATCGATATAATTGTTTAATAGATCTTACAAAGCAAGGAACTCCATAATAAAATGTACTAGTAAGCAAATAATACTCAGATATTTCATATAATTTATTCAATTTTTTCCCCTTAAAAGATCTACTATGTATACATGCTATATCCTGATATACACGAGCGTAGAGTATTCTTTCTGGCATTTTTGCTGAAGTCTGGGATCGAATAAAATTTCAAATTTACACAAATCACTAATAAACAATATGAAACTCTTTATTTTATTCAAGCAAATAAATCCTTTTGATTTTTAGATTTATGTTGTAAGACTTCATGATTAAAAAATTAAGTTAACTTAATAAAATAAATGGGAATAAGAAGCTATAAGAAAATGAGAACCTTAATTCATTTCTTTGGCATGAATCTGCAATGCAGGATCTAAGTGAACTGAATGAAAGGGATGCCTCAATCAACATTGTTTTATATGCTGATGTTTTGTTTTCGAATGCAATACCGCACAAAAGATTTTTACATCCAAGAAAAGCATTTAATCCAACAGATTGAACACTTAAAGGGATGTTAATCACTCTCAAGTTTGTGCAACCTTCGAATGCACTCGGGCCAATTGATGTAACACTGTTGTCTGGAATTAAAACCGTATCTAGATTTGTGCAGCCAATAAAACAACTCTGTTGAATATAACGAACTCTGTCTGATATAGCTAAGAATTTGTTTGGAGCTGCTGGTGGATAAATAATCAATTGTGATCGATCGAAGTTATATATTGCTCCGCTATCACTATAAAAGTATTCGGATTGGAACATTTTTACTGAATAAAATCTAATGCAGCCTTGAAATGCTGCTGGTTCAATGGATTTCAAGTGAGATGAATTTGGAATTTCAAGGTTTTCTAGATATTGGCAGTCTTTGAAACTCTGTCTTGAAATGATTTCCAAATTATCTGTGACTTTTACAGTTTTAATAGATGTCATTGCAAAGCATTCGATATCCAAAATAGTACAGTTAGAAGGGATAGAAACAGATTGAAGATTTATACAATTCTTGAAACAAAATGCTGGAATGATTCCATTGCAAACTTTGTTTCCTTCAAAAATCAAAGAATTAATTCCAGAATTCATGAAACATGATTGTCCAATTGATACATTAGCAGATGTTATTGTAATTGATGATAAACTATTGCAATTAAAGAAGGCATAGTTTCCTAAAGAAATTGATCCTTGTGATGGAAAACTAATTGTTGTCAATGAAGAACAATTCTGAAACGCATAATCTGATATTGTTAGTGATGTTGATGGTTGTTCAAATGTTATCTGAGGAATCTTATTATTTCCTAAAAATGCATAATCTTTAATCAATGTTAATGCAGATGAAAATTGGATAGGAGAAGAAATTGGACATCCTTCAAATGCTCGTTGTCCAATTGTTTTAACATATGATAAACTTGGAATTGTAACTAAATTCGTACAATTTACAAATGCATTTGCTTCAACATTTTGAATTTGACATGTTCCTTCACAAAGAACTTCTTTTATATTAGTTTTGTAGGAGAAAACTTTCGCTCCTATTGTTTTAATTGTTGAAGGAAGATGAATTGAAGTTTCACTTGTGCCAAAATAAGCAATGACTGATGAATTATCACTGTTAAACATAACGTTTTCATCATTAATATTAATCACGGAATTATCTGTCATATATAATTTCGCTTTTGGAGATGAAGCAAGAAATCCACCTTTTAATTCAGGAATAGGATTTGGTAAATAGACACTTAATAAATTAGGACAAGAGGACAATGCTCCTGTATCAATATATGTAACATTATTTGGAAACGTTATTGTTGTTAATCCAGAAGAAGAAAACATGTTTACAGCAAGAAAAGTCAAATTTTCAGACAATGTAACTGTTTTCAATTTAGAACACAAAGAAAATGATTGTTCTCTGCATGATTCAACAGAATTTGGAAGAGTTATTGATGTTATTGAAGATCTTGCAAAGCAAAAGTAATTGATTGTCTTCAATCCATTCTGAAGAGTTACTGATGAAGCTTGATAACTCACAAAAGCGCCATCAAACAAAGTTTCAACAGTCGATAAAACAGTATAAGGCGATGTTGATGCAGAACAAACATAATAAAGAGTTTTTCGATCAATACTATATAGCCCTCTTCCATCAGTGTAGAGCTTTGGATCGTTTGAATTTTCAATTGAAATTTGATTCATTTTTATATCGCTGTTAAACGCTGTTCCATAGAAAATAGAAACACTTGCAGGGATCTTGATACTAGTTATACTTGATTGATAGAAAAGATTCTTACTTATAGAACTAATTGAACATCCTTCTTCAAATTCTACGCTGGATAGAGAGGGATTTTCTGCAAATAGCTAGAAACTCACATCAAAAGAGAATTTCCACTTGTATTATCTTTTTATAAAAGAGAACTGTTGCAATATAAATCCTTCTCGAAACCCGAAATATCACAAAAAATATTATTTAATATAAGTATGATCAACGATACTGTCAATCGATTGTATACAAATAAGTTAAAAAAAACCACATCGAATTTCAGCACTATTTGTTTCATATTTTATTGGAATATTAATAATGAGAGTATTATTGATCAATGAAGCAAATAACAATGATTTCTATTGATTTTAAATATAATTGCTCCTGGAAAATTATCGAATTATAAATCATTTCCAAATTGAGATTCAATTTAGCGTGTAAACAGCCAGGAATCAGAAGATTTACTTATCTATGAAATGATGTTTAAGGATGTCAATTTGGAAGAAAAGTGAGAAAATTCCTAAAATGCTAAAAATGAATTTTCCAAACGTACTTTTTTATCTCATTTTTTTGATTTTGAAAAAAAATTTGGAGAGAAGAACTCTTCGTTTTTGAATTTTGTCACGATGGTTTTAAAGTATATTAGACACATGTATTGATATTACTATTTTTGTATATTTTGAGAGAAAATACCTAAAAAATGAGAAAATCTGAGACGGTTTGAGAAAATATATAAACTATTGAAAATTTGAATTAAACTTCTAATTTGGAAAAAAGAAATTTGGAAAGAAGAAAATTCAAAAATCGAGATTTAGACTCAGTATCAAATGGAGAACAAAGTGTTTCTTCATATGAAGGAAAAAATTTTCTTGAGAAGAAATAGAGTTTTTAAAATTTTATTGTATGTAATGAAATAAATAAATATTAAAATTATTTTTTGATAACAAGAAAATTCCCAACAGAAAATATTTGAGACAAAGAAAAAAAGAAAATTGAAAAATATTACTCTCCTTTACATTTCATGAGATTTTCAATTTATTTTCATAAAATTGACAATTTTATACGTTTAGATGAAAATAAGTGATTTTGCTTGAAATAAAAATTATTGTTTGTTTACAGCTATCAAATAGATTTTTGCTATTTTGATTAAAATTTGTTAATCAAATTAATAATTTTTTTTCTAAATATCTTAAATATCTGGATCACTCACTGATACGATGAATTAAACGATAAAAATAATACAAACTCAACTAAGTTTCCTGTCTTTCAACCAAAAAAATATTATGCAATTTAAATTAAATTGTTTATTCAAAGATAAAACAAAGATAAAGTAATTATAATTATCATATACTTTATGAATAACTCTCTAATTGGATAAGATATTTTCGTACAAATATTTTTATTAATATCGATAAGAATATGTTTACCTACTATCACCATATGTCGATAAACGAGAGTAGAGTGATTTTTATCATCGAAACTTTTTAAAAGCTGTAAGCAGGAAGTAATAATCTTGTTTTTTCTGAGTTAGTTGTAGAACTATTGATGCCCGAGTTATCATTGTGATGCAGAAGGATATCAATGTACTGACTGAAGGGTATGAATTGAATTGAATTTTATTGAATTTCAATTTGATCAAAATTTGTTGAAATGATATGAATGTGTCAACTTCTGTATCATTCTCCTTCACTCCTTCCTTATTCTTTCGAGAACGAAGCTAGCTCAGCTTTCGCTGAGCGAATTGACACTTTTCATGCCCTAAACGTACATACTCTCAAATTTATATCGAAAAAATTAATACCACCTAAACTAGTATATTCTTATTTTAAATATGATATTGTCCTTATATTCCACACTAAAATTCATTTAAATCAACTTTTAAAAAAGTTCGAATCCTGCGCGTCTCACTTTTTAAATTTTCCAAATGGAAAATTATATTCTCCTAAAGTGAAAACAATTTTCCAAATTGACTTCCTTATGATGTTATAAAAATGAATAAATTATTTTAAATTCTGGATAAAATTTGTCATAACAATAAGATTTTGATTGAAAATTTTGATGAGAGGAGTTAACTTCTCTTCAGAAAAATTATTGAAAGAATATGGATAATTTATAAAATAGTATATTTTGCTAAATAATTATTTGATTTTTGTTTGTGTTTTTAAATTTCGAAAACTATTCAATTTTGAATGCAAATATGAACCAAAAAATTTTACCTCATTTTTAATGTTCCTTCTCTTATCCTCATTAGCCTCTAGTGCAAGATGGGCTGTACTTATGGCAGGATCAAATGATTGGTATAATTACCGCCATCAAGCCGACATTGCAACAATCTATGATCTATTGATCAATAGATCGTTCCCAGCGGATCACATTATTACAATAGCATACAATGATATTCCATCTGACAGTAAAAATCCATACAGAAACAAATTATTCCATAATGTTGATCATCACAACATGTATCATGGTGCATCTCATATTGATTACACTGGTGGAAAGGTTACTGCACAATCATTCTATGATGTTCTCACAGAAAACAAGACAGCAGGAAAAGTCCTTGAGTCTACAGCTGAAGATGACGTTTTTATTTACTATGACAACCATGGTGCTGATGGCATCCTTGGTGTTCCTGATGGTGTTCTTGAATACATTACATTCGAAAGGCTTCAGGAATGTGTCAACACAATGCACAAGAAGGGAATGTATAAGCGCTTACTCTTCATGGTTGAAGCATGCGAATCCGGCCACCTTCCAGGGTTCATCAAAGCTCCAAATGCTGTTGTAATCACAGCTGCTAAGTATAGCGAGTCATCCATGGGTTCAATTTTTGATCCAGATGTTGATAATTACTTATCAAACGAGTTCACATTTGCCGCAATCGATTTAATCAACCAAACTGATTTAAAGATCAGTGAGTTTTACGATAAACTTGTCAAGGGAACACCATCTTCAACTCCACAAATTGGAGGCGGTGGCTATGAAGCTCTTAAGGATACCTACATTTCAACATGGTTTGGTGAATATAAGAATGAACCAAAGAATGTTCTTGCCAAGCCAAGACCAAAGATTGTTGAGAAGATGTCTCAGAGAGAAGTTTTACGTCATCTTCTTAAGAAGCGTGGTGATTTGCATTCACTTAAGAAGCTCCATGCTTTGGATGCAAACAGAGCTAAGATTGAAAAGAAGCTTAAGGACATTGCATACCTTCTCAACATCGATGATTTGAACAAGGTTGAAAATCCAACAAAGGAGAACTGGTCTTGCTTCTTCAAGGCACTTGAAGCTTTCACAAAGAAGAACGGTAACCTCCACCAGGATGATATGGGACTCACAAGAAAGCTCTTAGATATGTGTGCTGTTAGATCAGAAGAAAACGTTATCAAGGCAGTTCATGTAATATAATTTTTTAATTATTGCTTGAATAAAACTCTGTCTTAAGTCAGAACCGTAAATTTAGCTTGTTTTTAGAATAAAATTAAAAAAAAAAAAAAAAAAAGGTAGTGGGGCTTCCAGGGGCTGCGCCCCTTCTAGCCCCGAAGATGTTTAGTATAAAATGAGGTTTTTATTCGGAAAATTGTTAGTCTTCTGGTGTGAATTCGGAGGACTCTTCGTGTTTCTCTTCTTCGTGTTTCTCTTCTTCTTCCTCTTCCATTGCTTCTGGGAAGAAGTCTTCTTCTGGGTCGAAAACATTATATAATGTGTAATTGAATGACACATTATATCTTTGTTTGAGTTCGCTCTTGACAAAGAACTTAGTTCCAGGAATACAGAAGACTTCTGTGCGTTGGAAAAGCTGATGTCCTGGAACAAATTTGGCAATTAGAGACTTCTTTTTTCCGAATTGTTCAGGAGTTTCCATGACGACGGTAACAACATCTCCATCTGCGAGGTCTTGTTGTTGTTCGGAAAGGTAAAGAGCAATGATATAAATGGTTGCTGCGTTGAATTCGAGAAAGTCGAATTCAAATTGTGTTGTCGTATAGCATTCAAACCATTTTGTACAGTTGTCTCCGAACTCGTCAACGTATTCATCTTGGTCATATCCGTAACTAAAGACTTGGAATTCGGCAATTGTCTTGTCGAATGACCGTTGGATGTTACGAGGAAGATTTTGACGAACTTGGTATAAAGTTCTCAAACATTAAGCTTAGTAAATGTTGGAAAATACTGAACTAAGACATCGCTAAGCTCAATTGGACTTGGAATTGTCTTAGTAAGTTCAATTGAACTAGCAATTGCTTTGTCAGAACTTCACAGAACTGAGTATTGTATATAGCGTCTGGTTGTGTGTTTTCTTCGGCGTCTTTGAGATATTTAGAGCAAATTTGTTGAAGAATTTCTCTTAATTCGCTGTTAGACTTTTTGGCGGTTATTCTAACAGCTGTGCCAGTTCTTGGAGGTTGTGGGGCTTTGGCTTTGGTTAGCGGTTGAGAATTGTTAATGTTGGCTTCCATTACAAAAATAAACTGTTTTTTTCGGACTACTCATAGAAAAGTTTAAAATAAACCGTTTTCGTCAACGGTAACCCCCTCTATTTTTTTATTTTATTTAATAGTTACCGTTGGCAAACCGTTCCATCTCAAATATTGAATGAACTATAAACGTTTTTTGTTTTCTATACATACTTTTTTGTCCAACGGTAAAACTTTTTACACAACGGTTTTTGAGAGTCGTCGCCGTTGACTTTTTTGTAGAGCACTCAAAATAGTATAACTTTGTCCGGACAAGTAAGGGTCTATCGTCGCTACAGGAAAAGTTACAGGCGTTCCAAGGAAGTATACTTTGAGAAGACTTTCCCCTTATAGAATGAGATAGGACGGTTATTTTACAAAACTGACAACACTTTGACCGAGTAGTTTTTTGTGCTGAACAAAAAGTGTCATATAAACATCTGTCAAAAACCGCTTTTTAACTTCACTTAAAATGCCACGTAAGCTACGTAAGAATATACGTAAGAGGAAGAGAGCATTGAAACATCCAATAGTAAAACTAAACTGACACCACAACAACAGTTGCAACAACAAATGCTGAATGACCCCACTATGTTGCAACAAATGTCAAGCAATCCTATGCTTTTAAACCGAGTTGTTGGTGCACAGAGTGGAGGTTTAAGAGCGGCACTTTTAGCGAAAATGGCAGGCTATGGTGGAGCTGCAGACGGAACAGCTATAACCCTCAAAGTCAAATGAATTTGAGTTCACTCAAAAATCAAATAACAGATGTCAAAAAGTCAAACATAGACATACAGAAGCAAATAAGTGAAAACGAAAAGAAACTAGAATATGACAGACACACAAAGAAACTCAATGAGTTAAACGTAGAGAAAAAGAAGAAAGAAGAACAACTGAAAGAACTAAGTACAGAGGAATATGCGAAAAAAGTGTCAGAAAAAGCAGCAGAAGTAGCAAAAATGGAACAAGATGTCATAAATTTGAAAAACCATACTACTCAATATAAAATACTGAAAGATGAAGAGATAAAACAAAAAGCCCTGAAGACATATATGGATAGCGATGAGTATAAAAAAGAAGTTGAAGCAAATGTAAAGGCAGAAAAACTTTTACAGTTGCAAAACCAAACCGTACAGTATGAAAACTTAGCACAAGAAAGTAAAAATAACGACGCAGCCATGCAAAAGGCAATGAAAAGCGCAGAATATATAAAAGCTAACAATGACTGGTTAGATGCCCAAGCCAACGCTAAAGCAGCCCAACTCATAGGGTCAATAAGGACAAAAATACAAGCGGATGAAGACAGTTCAAATGAAGCTTTAACAAATGCTGACTTTAAGAACGCCTTCGAAGCTCTTCATAGTAAGGTGAAACAAGTGAACGACTTCTCATCTGGAAAGAAACTGAAGTCTGAAGGTTTCGACAAAGAGTTAAAGAAGTAGCACAAAATATGACGAAAATAACAGATGCAGCAACGAGACAGGCAGTTCAAAGTGCCTATGACGCCGTTAGAGCAACTGTTGTGAAAAGTCAAGAAAAAGAGTTACAACAGACCAAAACAGACCTAGTAAATGCTTTCTTAAAACGAAAAGTCAGGTAGGACATTACGCTGCAGATGGAACATATGTGCCAGCTGGTGGAACTTATATACCACCAAACCCTCCAAGAGAAGCACCTGCACCAGGACTACCTAAACATTTACATCGTCACATGGACACAGACACAGGCATGCACCAAAACCAGCACCACAACCAACAGTTCAAAACCCCACAACAACCAGCACAGCAACCAACAGTTCAAAACCCTGCACAACAACAACCACAAACAGAGCAAGGACATAAAAGAAGTAGAGAACAAGGAAACCAAGAATTCTTAAAAATGCTTAAAGAAGAGTGTGGTTTCCCAGATACTGTTGACTTTAGTGACAGATATAAAGAAGCTATTGGAAAGTTCAAGGATGGAAATACTGACCCGAACCTATTTAGCTTTATGGCTCAGCACCAAAACGGATATAATCTCAAACCTGGAAAATACAAGCTCGCTAAGGGATATGATTTAATAGCATATCATCCAAATGACATGGATGAATTTACTCCGAGATATTTGATGTCAGAGCTAAATGACAATTCAACTTTCGTCATGAAACGCGTAAAAAATAGAGACGGAACGAAAGAACAAAAGCTTATGAATGCGGATGACGTAGATAGGGAAATTGTTAAAAACGGTCTCGGAATATATGAAATGCCAGCAGATGAGGTACAAGAAACTCCACAGGAAGAATAGTTCAGATACAACCAGACATGGAAGAAATAGTTCAGCAACAACAGCTAGAAGAGCCTGAAGGAAACGAACAAGTCACTCCTTTGGAAACTAACTTCACAGAACTAGATGAAGATTTGGAACAGCCGAAAAATCTTGACCCTCAACAAGAGTATGCGGAGAATATGGAATATTTCCAAGAGTCTAAAAAAAATTCGGCTGACATAGTAGAAGAATATCGAAAAATGTTTGCCGACATACAAAAGACTCCAACACCAGATGAAAATATTCAGCATAGAATGGAAGAACTGAAAAAAATGTACACAAATACAACAACCCTTTTTACTTACGAGCATTTAACGTTCAATCTTCGGATGAACTCGGTGAAAATAAAAGGTTAAATTTCAAGAAAACATATAGAAATGAAACATTGTTTAAAGTTCATTCAGAACCTAACCAAGATGGAAACAAACCTACTTTTGTTTCTGCAGACGATGGAACTACAATGAGATGGGGTCATAAAGCTAATCCGGATAGGTGGTTCATAAACTTACAACCACAATTCCAAGAAGTTGTAGACGCAATGGAAGTCAATGGTGAACCAGATATAGCTGGTATTTTAAGCGCGGCTTTAATGCCATTGAAAGATATGAAACATGCAGATATTTTGGACCAGTATGAAATGAACATGGCTGATGGAAATATAACACCTGACGTTCTAGAACATTTATCTCAAAGAACTACACAGAACCATAGAGATGGTATATTTGGTGAAGAGTTTAGAAAGAAAGTTAGGGAAGAGAAGGAAGAGAACCTATTGTACATGACCTTGCAAACGAAAGTTTACAAAATGTCATAAAAACTTACTTTGCAGACAATGAACCGAGAAGGGATGAATATTTAAGAAAACTCAAATGGACAGTACCAAATGAAATGTTAGTATTGAAAAACATGTTCCTTGACAAAATAAAACCAACTACAGAAATAAACGACGCAAGACTGAAAGATTGGGTAAAAGCTTTCCCATTCACAAAAGATATAGTTGGTAACATGGAAAGAAAACCAGAATGGCTACAAAAACATATATTTGGAAACGAGCATATTCCATATGGACAGGCACTGTTTGAAGAGCTTGAACCGGAAACTCAGGAAAGAGTCATGCAAACAATACGCGAAGACTCAAATACAGACTATGACAAACTCTTTCTAGGATATAGGTTACCTGAGATGGGCGACCAGAGCCAAAAGGCAAAAAGGACATGGGAAATTTGCAACATACTAGATGAACATAATGCAAAGATGCAACAACTTCAAGCAGAGGGCAATGAAGGAAAAAGAAGAGTTAAAAACTCAGTCAGGAAGAAAGTAAAGCTTGGTCCACGTGGGTTCTATTATGACATATAAATCCAACTATTCTATATTTTTACTCATATGAAATGTACGCCGCTCAGAATATAACGCCAACAGTTTTGGATGCTATGAATGGAAATGTTTCCGAATGGTATAACGAATGCGACAATGCCATTAGAAGGTCAGAAATAGTTCCTGGAACTTACGAATATACAACTGCTGTTTCTTATGGAAACGTAGGTGAGTTTGGAGAAGGTTCTTCAACAACAGTAGATATTGCTTGCGACAGGTTTCATATTAATTTCTATTGACAACTCTTTCTTATACGTGGAACAAGACATT